CTTCTCTAATCTTTCCTCTGAAGTTCATGGTTCCAAAATTTCATCTGTATCTCTTTGATTTGGTCTCTCGTATCTTTGTTGTAAGGAGCTCTGGTAGCGTAGTGGTTACGAATCGGACTGCGAACCTTAAGGTCAGCGGTTCGAAACTACCAGCCGCTCCGTGGGAGAAAGATGAGGCTTTCTACTCCCATACAGATTTACAGCCTCGGAAACCCTGTACAGGGTCGCTATGGGTCGGAACCGACTCGACGGCACTTAACAACAACAACAACAACTAGTTAACTACAAGGTGACTTCAGGTGTTGGTGTTTCAGAATTCGAAGAGCGCCTCAGGCCTGTAGTCCCGGGGAGTCCTACATTCCAACAGGTCTGGCTTTTTTGTTTTGTTTTTTAGGAATTTGAGGTTCTGTTTTACATTGTCCTCCCATTCTACCAATGCTCATCTACTGTGGTGCTGATGAGAATAGTTGGTAGTGATAGCCGGCACCATCTAATTTTGGTCTCAGGACAGATGAGGCCATGGTTCTTGTAGACTGTTAGTCCTGTAAGACTTGTTTCTTTCTGAGTTTTTGGTTTCCTTCTTTCTCTTTGGTTCTAGACAGATAGAGAGCAATAGTTGTATCTTAAATGGTCACTTGTGAGCTTTTAAGACCCCAGACACTTCTCACCAAACGAGGCTGTGGACCCTAACTTTATGAACTGTAGTATGTCCGTTGGCTGAGATGTTCCATGAGACTATATTCCAAGTCTTTCAAATGCACACAGAGATTTTGTGAGCTAAAGCCCACTTTACCTTCGCCCATTTTAACACCAAAGGTCCTTTCTCTCTTCATTTCTTTCTTGCTTTCCCTATTCCCTCCGTCCCTTCTCTCGTATCTTTTTCCTTCCCTTCACTTCCTCTCGCCCATGCACTCATCACCAAAGATTGGGGGAGGTCTTTGTGTTGTTGACTAATGTATCCCAAACTCCTAGAACAGGATCTCTGATTGAATCATTACTGAATGCATATTTACTGAGGGCCTGCTATGTGCCAAGGCCCTGCCCTAGGGGCTGAGAATGCGCGACTGTGAATCAATAACAAAACAGGCAGGCAAATGACACAACTAAGCTTCCCTATCTAGCCAAAGTGGAGGATAACTGATGGCGCCTGCATTGGACACAGAAGTCAGGAAAAACTCCTCCGAGGTGTGGACATTAAAACTGAGTCCCTAAAGTAAAGCCCCCCCCACCTCCCCACCCCAGCCAATTTAGTTGAGGAATGCCTCAGATATAAGGAATTGCTTTACTAAAAGGAACCCTGAGGTGAATTGTTATATGGAGCAACACATTTCTTGGTAACAAGGTTGGTATCTTTGTGTTGTTATATCTGTGTTTGCCCCTAGGGGGTAGCAGAGAACCTTATGTTCTATTGGTCCCTGCCCAAGGGACCAAATGGATAAGCACTTGGTTGCCAACTGAATGGTGGGACGTTCCAACCCACCAGCTGCTCCATGGGAGAAAGATGCGCCAGTCTGCCTCCGTAAAGATGACAGCCTTGGGAACCCTATGGGGCACTTCAACCCTATAGGGTTGGTGAGAGCTGGAATTGACTGCACGGCATTGAGTTCTTTTTTGGTACCTGCCCTTCCGACCCTAATGAGTGTCCACTGGACACAGAGTAATTTGAGGATAGATTTTCTGCTCTGTGTGTGTGTGTGGTCAGCATACGTTTGTTGTTAGTAAGCCAGTATGATACTGGAGCTAAGAGCGATGCCTCTGTGTGCGTCTCTTGTGTGACCAGCTCTTCCTGGGGAGCTTAAGGCTTGGGGCCCTGGCTCTGACCTTCCTCCTTGTCTTCCTCAGAATAACCCTCCTGGTGTGCTGGCCCTGCTGGATGAGGAGTGCTGGTTCCCCAAAGCCACAGACAAGTCCTTTGTGGAGAAGCTGTGCTCGGAGCAGGGCAACCACCCCAAGTTCCAGAAACCCAAGCAACTCAAGGACAAGACTGAGTTTTCCATAATCCACTATGCTGGGAAGGTACGGGTCCCAGGCTCCAGGCCCCGCTGTCCCAGTGGGAACAGCAGACGGGATCCTCAGAGGAGGAATCATTTGGGAATGGTACCCGGGTGCCCCAGTGCCAAGGGGCCCCTCGATCCCAGTGAGGACAGCATATAAGAATCTCAGGGTAGGAACAATTTGGGAATGGTACTAGCTCTGGGGCCCAGGGCCCTCTCTATCCCAGTGGGAACAGCAGGCAGATGCTCAGAGTAGGAATCATTTATGAGCTGTACCAGTCCCAGGGCCAAGGACTCTCTCTGTCTCAGTGGGAACAGAGACGGGAAGCTCATAGGAGGAATGATTTGAGGATGATACCAGCCCCAGATCCCCCTCTGTCCCAGTGGGAACAGCAGGTGGGAAGCTCAGGGTAGGAATCACTTGGGAATGGTACCAGCCCGGGAGTTACAGACAACAAAGGTAAATACTGTTACATACACGATCCTGCAATATCAGTGATAACACACGTTAATCTGTGACCAGATGCATAGGCTCTGGAGAAAGGGCTACTGGGAGAATACATAGCCTAGAGAAAAGGCCTTCAACAGCGATTCCTATCACGTATCGATGACCTACTGTGTGCAGGGCCCTTGGAAACACTGCTCTTTTGGTCTTGCCATCGATGTTGATGGATTCCCATCATGGCGGATGCTAATGTTGTTTCCTCTCTGACCTTGGAAGACCTGGAAGGGAAACAGGGATGTGGGCCTTGCCCTTAATTTTGATGGGTGGAATGAATGATCTTTGGCAGGTGGATTACAATGCAAGTGCCTGGCTGACCAAGAACATGGACCCACTGAATGACAACGTGACTTCACTCCTCAACGCCTCCTCAGACAAGTTTGTGGCTGACTTGTGGAAGGACGGTAAGGCTCTCCCTGCTCTGAGAACTGTTTTGATCAGAAGAATCAAACACCGTATCTTTCATCTCTTAATGGCTGCCCATCTCCCATATCTAGTCCCAAGTGGTGGATATTGGGAGAGGGCCATGTTGGCAAGTAACAACATCCTGTTGAAACATTCAACCACCTAGCTCTCTGAATAGTGGACTCCAAGCCCTCAACCCCAAATCTGACCCAGGGAGCAGCTCCTGAGGTCAGGGCTCAGGGAATACAAGCTGTGGTGATTTAGGATCCAAGAGTTAGAAAGACTTCCGTTCTTGTCTTCACCACTGATAGCTGTTTGATCTTGGACAAATCACTTAATTAATTTCATTAAGCTTCAGCTTCCTTTCCTGAAACTATTGTGAGGATTAAATTAGACCCATAGTGCTCAGACTTGGGTGTCCTTCAGGGTCCCCTGGAGTCTTTTTGTACACAGACAATTGGATCCTACCTCCCAGAAGTTCTGAATCTGTTGGTCTGGAGTAGGGTCTGGGAACGCGCACTTCTAATAAGTGCCTTTAGAAGCCAGAATGGTCAGACTCTGTCTCGCATACTTCAGGCATGTTATCAGGAGGGACTTGTCTCTGGGGAAGGACATCGTGCTTGGTAAAGTGGAGGGTCAATGAAAAAGTAGAAGCCCCTCAATGAGATGGATTGACGCAGTAGCAGCAACAATGGATCACATGTAACAATTGTGAGGACTGGGCAGGGTTTCGTTCTGTTGTGTATAGGGTCACTGTGAGTCACCGACACATAACAATTGTGAGGGCTGGGTAGGGTTTCGTTCTGTTGTGTACAGGGTCACTGTGAGTCACCGACACATAACAATTGTGAGGGCTGGGCAGGGTTTTGTTCTGTTGTGTACAGGGTCGCTGTGATTCAGAGCTGACTTGATGGCACCTTCAACAACAGTAAATTCCCAGGGGCTGCAGCTGCTGCTGGTGTGGAGACTCCGCTTTGGTTGACTTTGAGAGCCAGCGGCTCGATAATCTATACCATACCTAGCCCCTGTCTGGCCCATAATACGTGCTCAGTGTTGGCTGCTGGAATGATGGTTGGAGTTGGGATTTGCTTATTTTATTCATGGCCACCTTTGTCCATGGGAGGTTTCCTTCTTGGCACAAAGGGTATGGTCCTTGTTTTAAGCATGGTAGAAAGTGTTCCAGGCAAAGGTTATGTATGCCAACATTTACTGAGTGCCAGTCACATGGGAGTCCTGGTGTGGCGCTGTGGGCTAATGCGTCAGACTGCAAAGTTGTTTGGACTGCAAGGTCGGTGGTTCAAGCTCACCAGCTGCTCTTTGGAAAGCCTATACAGGGTCGCTATGGGTCGGAATTGACTCGACAGCACTTAACAACAACAATCACATGGTGGGCTCTCAGACTAGGTAGCTGCAGCTCTCCTTGGTTTCACCAAGCCCCTGGAAGCACTCACTAAGACCCTTCCCTCAAGGAGCCCACAATCCTGTGGGAGAGAGAGAGAACAGAGATGGTTCCATGGAACCTACAGATGTAATTGTGTCCAGCGGGCAGGCCTGGTGCAGCCCCGTGGGTTGGGCTGGATACTTGCTGCAGCAGGTGGACTGTTGGAAATGTCTGCTGCCGTTCTGAAAGAAAAAGTCCCTTTGATGATAATAGAAGGATTGCTGGTGGTGCCGTGGTGAAGTGGATAGATGCTACCCATAAGGTTGGTGGTTCAAACCCACCCACTTCTCCACAGGACAAAGCTGTGTCTGTCTGCCTCCTCCGGGAAGATGACAACCTTGGAAACTCCGGGGAGAGTTCTTCTCTGACCTAGAGTGTTATTATGAGTTAGAACAGATTTGACGACTATGGGTTTTGTTTGAATTGGCTTAGCAGTGGAACCCCTGGGCAATGCAAATGGTAAACACTCTCACTGCTAACCAAAAGGCTGGTGGTGTGATTCCACCCAGAGGAACTTTGGAAGATAAGTTTGGCAGTCTACTTCTGAAAAATCAACCATTGGAAACATTAGGAGCACAGTTCTACTCACACACGGGGTCACTATGATTGTGGTCAGCAATTAGAACAGGGCCACACATCTGCTAAAGGGAGGCAAGAGCTGACCATGCGTGTCTGCACTTGCTGAACCTTTCTGGAACCTTCTTTCCCTGGATGATTCCACGGTCACTCCCCAACTTCCTTTAGGCCTCTGCTCCGCAGTTTATCAGAGAGATCCCCATTACCTCATTATTATTCTCCCTTTACCCTGCTTTATTTTTCTTCTAAGGAGTCCTGGTGTGGTGCTGAAGGAGAAGTACTGAACTGCTAACCGCAAGATTGGCGGTTCAAACCCATCAGCCACTCCTTAGAAACCCCAGACACGGTTGCAGTGAAGTCAGAACTGACTCACGGCACTTAACAACAACATCTTTTTACTGAGGCCCCTCGGCGCTTGGGATATCTTATATTTCTACACCAGCGTATTGTCCCTTCTTCCACGAGACTAACCATGGAGCTGTAAAGTATCAGATTGCAATTCACAGTGAGCCTATAGGACAGAGTAGAAACTGCTCCCAGGGCAGAGACTGTAAATCTCTACGGGGCAGAGATTTCAGCTGGCAGGTTTGAACCACTGACTTTGTGGTTAGCAGCCTACCACTTAACTCACTGCATCATTAGGGTTCTTTTGGAGCATGGTTATTACTGTTTTTAAGTGCTGTCAAGTCGGTTCCAACTCATAGAGACCCTGTAAAGAGTTTCCAAAGAGGGGCTGGTGGGTTTGAACCACTGACTTTGCAATTCAAACAGACTTTGCAGTCCAGTGCTTATCCTGCAGCGCCAGGTGCTCAGTAAACACTTGTGGGATGAAGGACAAGCCCGCTAAGTGTTTTCCAGAGCCTCACTCGCTTCCCATGCCGCCTTGTGGATGTTGTCATTACTTCTGTTATGTAGATGAAGAAACTGGGGCACAAAGGGGTGCTGGCCCACGGGACCCAACAGGTCCCTGACCAGAGCAGGATGTACTCCAGGTCTCCCCTGCTCCCAATCTCTCCCAGATCCTCAGCACTGGAAACAGCCTCCAACACATACATGTCTCCCCATTACCCAGTGGACAAGACAACCACATTGTCTGCGGAGGAAAGGTGGGGCTGGTGCCCAGCGAGCGGAAGTAGCGACCTGGGGCCTCCCAGAGTCTCAGTGTGGAGTCTTTACTGGCTCACCCTCTGTGGACCTGGCTCTCTGGCTGCTTGTGGGGGCTAGGAGTCCCCAAGGGCTGACACCACCTCTCATGTCCCCACAGTGGACCGCATTGTGGGGCTAGACCAGATGGCCAAGATGACAGAGAGCTCGCTGCCCAGCGCCTCCAAGACCAAGAAGGGCATGTTCCGCACGGTGGGGCAGCTCTACAAGGAACAGCTTGGGAAGCTGATGACCACACTGCGTAACACCACGCCCAATTTTGTGCGCTGCATTATCCCCAACCATGAGAAAAGGGTGAGTCTGCCCAGGGAGTTCCCCCCGGGAGTAAAGGGGGGGGGTGTTCTGGAGGCCTGAAGGGTCTGGGGGAAGGGCCCCAAAGCCCCTGATACTAGAGGGACAGAGGTCCGTAATCTGAGGCCCATTAGCCTTGGGTGGGAGGTTGTCTGAATCTGGTACCCATTCTGCATCCCTCTCTATATGGTACAAATGGTTAAACACTGGCCTACTAACCAAAAGGTTGGTGATTTGAAACTGTCCAGAAGTGTTTCGGAAGAAAGACCTGGAAGTCTGCTTCACAAACATCATGAAAACCCTCCGGAGCCCAGTTCTACTCCGAATCACATGGGGTCTCCATGAGTCAGAATCAGTTTGATAAAAACTGGTTCGGTTTGTTCTCCCCATTGCTGGAGGCAGAAGAAGGCAAAGGAGGAGGGGAGGGTGTTTCCAGGGACTGTTTCAGCCATGAGGTGCTCTCAAGGGGCACCAGCTGACTCATTCACTCATTAGTCCAAAAAATGGTTACTGAGCACCTACCTGTGCCACATGCTGGGGACACAGTGCTGGGTTTCTCAGAATCCAGCTCAAGAGTTCTCAGTGAGGGCTAACTGGGCCCTGGGGGTGCTGTAGGTAAAGTGCTGAACTGTTAACAGCAAGGTTAGTGGTTAAAAGCCACCCCTACTCTACAGGGAAAAGAGCAAGCTATCTGCTTCTGTGGAGTCCTGGTGTAGCGCTGTAGGGTAATGCACTGGATCATAGGGCAATTTGAACTGCAAGGTCAGCAGTTCAAATCCACCAGCCGCTCCTCAGAAACCCACACAGGGTCGTTATAGGTCGGAACAGACTCAACAGCACATAACAAGAACAATCTGTTTCCATCAAGATTTAGTCTCCGAAGCCCTGAGGAACAGTTCCTACTGTGTCCTCTAGGGGCACTATCGTTCAGAGCCAACTTGACAGTAGTAGGTTTGGGTTGGAGACATTTTTGATGGTAACACTGGGAGGAAGGTGCTCCTGACATCTTGTGGGTGGAGGCCAGGGATGCTGGTGGACATCCTCTAATGTCCATCACGAAGAGGTGTCTGGTCCAAAATGTCAACTAGCAGAGAAACTGATCTAGTGGGGGAGGTCGCCACACCAGCTGAGTACCGTGACGTAATAGCGTAGATTATGAGACCACCAAGGTGCCAGGATACTGCACAATCTCAGGGCTCAGAGTAAGCTGCTTGGAGACTGTGAACTTTGGAGAATGGGTAAGCATAAAGTTGGTGAAGTAGAGGGTGGTGTGGGAGTGACAAGCAAGGCAGAGGGGCTACTAGCAGCAAACATGTGGCGGGAAGAACTGAAGAGTCTGTGTAAGAAAATGCTGGCTAGGCAGTTTCATGTTGACATGCAGTAGTGTGAGGCAGGGACTGGGGACAAGTAAGACCACATGGACATGCAGAAACTAGATCCTGGTGTTTTTTGTGCACCGACCAGAGATTGGCCTTCTTTCTGTATGGGTGCCATCAGGGAGGAATGCCAGGGTGGTACAAATAACAGTTAATGCAACTGCTACTAAATGAGAAGTTGGAGGTTCGAGTCCACCTAGTGGCATCTTGGCGGGAGGAGAGGCCTGGCCATCTACTTCTGAAACCTCAGCCACTGAGAACCCTATGGAGCACAGTTGTACTGTAACATTCATGGGGTCACCATGAGTTGAGATGAACTTAGCAATGACTGGTTTGTATTTCACGGTGAAATTACGTTTTAGAAACACACTAAGGAGATGGAATGGTGAGGCAGGACTGGGAAGGCCAGGCAGTAGGTTGCTTGCTGAGGTTGTCCATGCTGGAGAACATCGGTTGCTGGATGGGGAACATCGTTACGATGGGGATGGAGAGCCATGGGTGGACTGGAAGGTATTTGGGAAGTAGGAGCCACAGAAGATAGAGACGGACAGAATATGACAGGTGGTAGGTCACCAGGATGAAGCCACCATGTGCAAAAGAGACCATGCAGCTAAAGGTCTTAGAAGCCCAGAGAAAGCGAGGCTTCAGTGACACCTCACTTGGTACCTCTGTGAATACCCACCTGACCTGGCGGAATTGCTAATTTACACCTGACATTTAGGACTTGTTGCTTCTGGGTCCCAGAGCCGGTAGTCATTACTATTTTCTGCTTTCATAGTCGGGCAAGCTGGATGCATTTCTGGTACTGGAGCAGCTACGGTGCAACGGAGTGTTGGAAGGCATCCGGATCTGTCGGCAGGGTTTCCCCAACAGGATTGTCTTTCAGGAGTTCCGCCAACGGTGAGCCTGCCGGGGCCAGCACGGGTGGGGTGGTGGGTGAGTGGGGCTGGGCAGAGGGGTGGATGATGAAGCTTCCCTCGGTGACTTCGGTCCTGTGCTTCTAGCTATGAGATCCTCGCAGCAAGTGCAATTCCCAAAGGCTTCATGGACGGGAAGCAGGCCTGCATTCTCATGGTGAGTCCATCCTGGCTTCTAGGTAGGTCTTGGTCCCAGAACCCTGGTAACACAGTTGTTAAACATTTGGCTGCTAACTGAAAGGTCTGCAGTTCAAACCTTCGAACCGCTCCACATGAGAAAGAATCGGACCCAGGAACCCTATGGAGCAGTTCTACTCTGTTCCATAGGGTCACGTGAGCTGGAATTGACTTGGTGGTACCCTACTGCCAGTCATGGTCAGCTTCACATTTTAGAAACACACATGGAAGACCACTAGGAGTACTGAGGTAGTCACAGCTGGAGAAGCTGGTGGTGTGTGGATAGCACATGGGATGAAGAGACGTGGGTGGCCCAGCTTCAGGCCTTGCTGAAGTTGCTTGTGGTGGTACCGTCATCCAAGTACACAGCTGAAACCAGAAACCTTCCTCTTCTCTCCTTCTGCAGATCAAAGCTCTAGAACTTGATCCCAACTTGTATAGGATTGGGCAGAGCAAAATCTTCTTCCGAACCGGGGTACTGGCCCACCTGGAAGAGGAACGAGACTTGAAAATCACAGATGTCATCATGGCGTTCCAGGCGATGTGTCGCGGCTACCTGGCCCGAAAGTAAAGAGTTCTCCCCACATCCTGACACCTTCCTATCACACGGACCAGAAACACCAGAACCACTTGGGGAGGGGTTTTCCTACCTCATGTCTAACTCACTGATGCTGTGAGGCCATCTAGTGTTAGATGCATTGAGGGCGAGTGTCACCACTTTAAATATATGCCCGCGTTGTGAGTACCAGGCATGGAAAATGCTCAGATCCATGGGCTCTGGGACCAGGCTTCTCCTTCTGCTCCCCCATTTATTTGCTGATGGACTGTAGGCATGTTACATGCCCTGCGAGACTCAGGCCCTCCTAGTGGTAACATGGGCATGATCATGTCTCCCTCATGCAGCTGGGTATGAGAAGTCCATGATACGATCCGTGGAAAAAGTTAGAACCATGTCCAGTTACCACTTCTGAAATGCTGGATACAAAAGGTATCCAAAGGAATGGAGTCCTGGTGTGGCGCTGTGGGTTAATGCACCAGACTGCAAAACTGTTTGAATTGTAAGGTCGGTGGTTCAAGCTCACCAACTGCTCCTCAGAAACCAACTCAACGTCACTTAACAACAACAGCAACAACAAACTGGTGTGGCGCTGTAGGATCAGTACTGGACTGCAAACCACAAGGTCAACAGTTCAAACCCATCAGCTGCTCCTCACAAACCCTATACGGGGTCACTGTGAGTCAGAACAGACTCTATAGCACTTAACTACAACAGCATAGCCCCTAACCAAATGGATTCACGTGGCTGGGCTTTGGTAGATCTGCTTCCCCTGTTGTTTTGAGAGGGCTGGGAGGAAGGGGAGGGCTAAGATTCCTAGATGAAAATTGCTTCCCAAAAAGGTATGCAGGGGGTGAGGGGGTGGTGGTGGTACTCCAGCTAATTATCCTTAGGTCTTGGCTACACCCTCACCTACCCTGATTGTGTCAAGCTGCTGACTCTCTGGCAAGTGGATCCATGTTGGTGAAAGCCACATCTGGGGAGCTTTTGGCCCCAGACAGACCTAACTTGTTACGTCTCGTAACTAAATTCTCTGTCAGCTACACCCAATATGGCCACCAAGATGGCAACCTGAGGAAAGAGGATTATGATCACCGTTCTATGGTTTTTCAAACTCGATGGTCCTTAAACAGGAAGAGAGTTGTCTCTGTGTCAGAGTCTCCACTGAGACCCCTAAAACACAACTTAGCAAAGAATAGATCTGTCAGAAGCTCAGTTTTCGGAAGGTGTGGCACCTCTGGGGGTGTGAGGTATCCTCCTTAGGAAAGATATTTATGTTATTGTTATGTGCTGTCAAATCAGTTCTGACTCATGGTGACCCTGCATAGGGTTTCCGAGGAGCAGCTGGTGGGTTTGAGCCGCCAACCTTGTGGTTGCCAGTCAAGTGCTTATCCTATAGCACCACCCCCGGGCTTGGGAAATGATGTAGTCTAGGTCTGTTTCCCAGGTCATGGCTCTGAGCCTCTAAGCTTTGGGTCTTCCTTGCTCACTGAGAAAGGCTCTCAGTGGTCCAAACTAGACGGCACACTTGTGTTGATGCTCAGGGGACCTGGGAGAATCTGTGCTCAATGGGATGGGCTGTGTCTCTGTGTAAGTTCCAAGATGACAAGCCAACTAGGAGCTTGTGTTCAGGATGCTCTAGGGAAAGGTGCTGTGAACAGCAGGGAGTGTGGACAAGGGGAGTGTGAGTAAGGAGGGGCATGTGATGTGGTCCGTGGCAGTTTGGACAAGGGGGAGTATATGAGTCAGGGAGTGTGGGAGATGTTGGAGAGTGTGTTGGGCAGGTCAGAGGGCAGCCCTTGGCTCTGGCTTCTCAGGGCCCTGCTGTTCTCTCTCCTAGGGCTTTTACCAAGCGGCAGCAGCAGCTGACGGCCATGAAAGTGATCCAGCGGAACTGCGCCGCCTACCTCAAGCTGCGGAACTGGCAGTGGTGGAGACTCTTCACCAAAGTAAGTGGACTAGAGATGGGGCCCTGAACAACAAAACTCAGATCCAGAGCATTTCTGGAATACCAGGGACCCTTCAAGTTGCCCCTTTATGGCCATGCCTGTTTCTCACCCACCCCTTCCACCAACTTAGCCCTCACTCACCATTTCTATAATTTTATCATTTCAAGCCCTGGGGTGGCGCTGTGGGTTAATGCACTGGACTGCAAAGTTGCTTTGAGCTGAAAGGTAGGCAGTTCGAGCTCACCAGCCACTTCTCAGAAACCCTATAAGGGTCTTTTTGAATCAGTACCAACTCCATAGCAGTTAACAACAACAAATTGTTTATGAATAGCTCATTTTTATAGAGAAAACGACCTTTGGGTACAACCTATCCCTACAGCATCACTGGTTGTAATTTACCAGCTGCTCAGAGACATGTTGCTAAGTGGCATTGAATCTGTTCTGACTCATAGTGGCTCTATATAGGATTTCCAGGAGTGGCTGGTGGGTTTGAAGTGCCGACCTTGTGGTTAGCAGTCCAGTGCCACACCAGGACCCTAAAGACATACCCTGTTGCAACAGATAGGCTCCTCTTCTATGCCACTGGGTGTGTAAATGGGCACATACTTTGTCATTGAGTCACCACTGTGAGACACCGTGGTGTCTTGTCCTCGTGAGCGGTCCAGTTATGTGGATGGACAGACAGCCATAGGAGTGAAGACAGGGGTGCATCAAGACAGGCGTCTACTCAGTGGGGGAAGGTGCTTGTTGGAAATATTCATTCCATTTGACTCAACTCCTGAAAAATGATCTTAAGGAAACTATTGCAAATAAAGAAAACCAAGAATTAAGGGCATTCATCATGGCCTTGGGAGTCCTTGTTGTTGTTATGTGCTGTGGAGTCAGTTCCGACCCATAGCGACGCTGTACAGGGTTTCTGAGGCCATAAATCTTTACAGGAGCAGAAAGTCTCATCTTTCTCCCACGGAACAGCTGGTAGTTTCAAACTGCTGACCTTCAGGTTCGCAGCCTGATTCATAACCACTACGCTACCAGAGCTCCTTAGTGGTGCAAATGGTTAATACACTGAACATGGTTGGAGTTGTGAGTCCGCCCACAGGCACCTCAGCAAAAGGCCTGGTGATCTACTTCTGAAAACTCAGCCATTGAAAACCCGACGGGCAGTTCTACTGTCACACACGGGGTTTCCAGGGACCAGCAGTGACTGGAAGGCAACTGGCTATGGCCTTATTTATAACAGCAAAATGTCAATGTCGAACCCTGGCAAATGGAGCCATTCATGGGTCACCACCCATTTTCCATCAAGATTTTTTAACTAGTAAGAAAAATGACTATCTAAAAAGGAAAAAGAGAAAAAGGTTACTGATAAAGACAGTGTAACAACCTGGAGTATTAATTACCTTGCAAAGTTAGATAGCAGGAGGAAAGTGAGGCTTTCTGTTCCTGTAAAGATTTACAGCCAGGTAACCCTCTACAGGGCTAGAACTAACGCCACGGTACCTCAGAACAGCACTGTTAGCTAACTCAAACAGCATGTAAAAGTTAGCTGTATAATCTCAGGCATATTTTTTAAATGTGTAGGAAAAAGACTGGAAGGAAATGCTAAGAATACCAGTAATGACTTTGATAGAGAAATGGGAATGTGCAGGAGATGTCTTCCTTTTCTTTCTTTGGAAGGAAGCACATTAAATTGTCAGTGGAAGTTCTCTTGGGATGGGGGTGGCTCTCTCCTCATTTTGTATATTTTTGTATTGCTCATTTTGGGGCCGTTTCACAGCCTCAGCACTGTTGAGATTTAGGGCTGACTTGTTCGTTGCAGGCTGTTTTGTACCATCCCTGGTGTAGACCCACTATGTGCTAGTGGCCTTCCTTCCCACTTGTGACCACCCCCACATTGCCAAATGTCTCCTTGGGGAGAAAACATCCCTCATTATAAAACCCTGCTCAGATTGGTAACAATGGGGCTGTGTGTGTGCAGGTGAAGCCGCTGCTGCAGGTGACACGGCAGGAGGAGGAAATGCAGGCCAAGGAGGACGAGCTACAGAAGATCAAGGAGCGGCAGCAGAAGGCGGAGGGCGAGCTCAAAGAGCTGGAGCACAAGCACACACAGGTGCCCAGGCCGGAGCAGGGCTGGGGCAGGCAGGGAGCCTGTGCCCTCAGCCCCTGTGGGCTCACTGGCCTGGTCCCCACTCCCTCCGTGTACAGCTGGCCGAGGAAAAGAACCTGCTACAAGAGCAGCTGCAGGCCGAGACAGAGCTGTACGCAGAGGCTGAGGAGATGCGGGTCCGGCTGGCGGCCAAGAAGCAGGAGTTGGAAGAGATCTTGCATGAGATGGAGGCCCGCCTGGAGGAGGAGGAGGACCGGGGCCAGCAGCTGCAGGCTGAAAAGAAGAAGATGGCCCAGCAGATGCTGGTAAGGCACTGCGTCCTCAGCGAGAGCTGGATCTGAATACAGGCCTCACCAGAGTCCACCCTGCTCCGTGGTGAGCGGATGCCCTTTCTCTAGTAAGCACCCAGGCTGACAGTCTTTGCACTACTCATTTATTGAATTGCAAAACAAAACATCCAAAACATATCTTCACATGATACACATTTATTTTCTTAACACAGTTCCTTGGTCAGGAATTCAGGAGCAACTTAGCTGAGCTTGGGGTTTCTGGAACTTGGGGTTTCTCGTGAGGTTGTAGTCCAGGTGTCAGTTGGGGCTGCAGTCCTCCTGGGGCGGGGGGATCTGCTGCCATGATGGCGCACCACATGGCTGTTGGCAGGCCTCAGTTCCTCACCGTGTGGAGCTCCGTAGTGCTGCTTGGGTGTTCTCACAGTGTGGCAGCTAACTCCCCCCAGAAGCCGAAGCACGTGATCCGAGAGACAGCAGAGAGGAAGCCTCAATGCCGTTTACACCTCATCTTGGAAGTACACTTCACTTCCACTTTCTCCATTAGAAATAAGCCCCTAAATCCTGCTCACACTCAAGGTGGGGTGAGGGTGAGTGATCAGACTCTGCCCCTTGAGGGAAGGAATAGCAACAAATTTCTGGACTTACTGTAAAACCACTATGCTAAAGGTTAGGGAATGAGCAAGGCAATTCAGTAAATGGAAGTGAAACAACTGGAACAGGAGAAACAAGAATGCTGACACAATGGAAGATTGGAACTAAGATCACTGATCATTGTGTCTAGAGCCTGAGGAATGAAAGTGGGTTTTGCTATGTTTATTTTCACCCAAAATAAAAGTAAAAACAAAACACTATAGTATCCTAAAACCAAACCCATTGCTGCCAAGTTTGCTCTGACTCGCAGCGAACCTGTAAGTAGCACCTAGTAGATCCATTTTACAGATGAGGAGACTGAGGCTCCACAAAGCAAAGTGGCTTGCCTGGACCTTTGCTTTCCAACAGATGGAGACTGCAATAGATTGGTGGGCGGGGGGTGGGGGGTGGGGATGAGGCCTAGCCTCTGTGTCAGTTACTGCCCAGTTTCCTAAGAGTGTTTGTTTCAAGCAGGGTGGTGATGTTTTTCCCTCTCCCTAAAAGGACCTGGAAGAACAGCTGGAAGAGGAGGAAGCCGCGAGGCAGAAACTACAACTCGAGAAGGTCACAGCTGAGGCCAAGATCAAGAAACTGGAGGATGACATCTTGGTCATGGATGACCACAACAATAAGCTATCAAAAGTGAGTGAGGTCGTGCGTCTTTGTTAAAATGGAATCTCGCCAGGAAGCAGGATTCCAGAGGTCTCCCTTTTTGACCACATATACCAAGGTGGTGAAGGCTGAGCAAAGGGTCATCTCTTGGCCATGACATGATGGCCTTGGGACCCCATTGTTGATACCACTGTGCACTGGGCCGGGTTTGTCCCATCAGCACCGGAGCTGCCATGGAACGATCCTCAGGAACACCATTGCCAGAGACCCCAAGTCAAGGGTCTCTTCCATATTCTGTTAACCACTAAGGGACTTGGGGATGTGGAACTTCCAGGGCTAAAAGTAGAAAGTCCAGAGCAGATCAGGATGTGTTGGGCAGCTGAGTGAGTAACCAAGAGGGGCAGGACCACCGAGGGTGGTGCTCGCTGTCAGCTGAGCACCTTCTGTGAGGCAGCACCAGGAGAGATGCCTGGTGACATGCGGGAGACATACTAGGGCAAGTCAAAAAGTATTACTACTAGGGGTCCAGTTCATACGTGTGAGGGTTCCTTCCAAACAAAGTGTGTTTAAACATGGCTCTGAGATCAGTGGATGGCTGCAGACAAGTTCGCTCAGTAATCTACTTGTCTTAGTCTCTTTTATGATGCCTTGCAAAAAATATAGTCTAATCAAAACAGTGGCTTCTGGGGGGATCTGCTGGGCCAGTTAAATTCAAGGCAGAGAGGTCAGCTCAGAAGGCTATGGTGACTGATTTTTGGGATCCCAAAGGAGTCATCTTGAGAGATTTTCTTAAAAGACACAGGACGATCATGAAGCCTAATAGGAAGAAGTTTTAAGAACATACTGATGATTCTTTATTCTCTCCCCTCTCCTCCCCCAAAAGGAGCGAAAACTTCTTGAAGAAAGGATTAGCGATTTAACGACAACTCTCGCAGAAGAGGAAGAAAAAGCCAAGAATCTCACCAAGCTGAAAAACAAGCATGAATCTATGATTTCAGAACTGGAAGGTATTTTGAAGGCATTTTGTTTGGGCTGCTTTTTTTAAAACCAGGAGAAATCAAATCAGTAAGGAAATTTGAGAATGGCAAATTCTTTTAAGACAGTTACAGCTGTAAGCAAGTTCTTCTAATGACCCATCGTCAACATAAAGCAAACCCAGGTCCGTGGAGTGTATTCTAACTCATAGTGACCCTAACCGCATACACAGTAAATGGGTCACAAAAGGACAATAATGGAACGATCCCACTTTCGAGAAATATCTACAACAGACAACTGTACACAGACCAAAAGGAGCCCTGGTGGTGCAGTGGTTAAGTGCTCAGCCGCTAACCGACAGGTCGGCGGTTCAAACCCACCAGCTGCTCCTTGGAAGAGCTTCCGTAAAAATTATAGCCCCTGTGGGGCTGTTTGACCCTGTACTCAAAGCTCACTATGAGTCCAAATCAACCCAACAGCAGTGGTTTTATAAAAAAAAAAATTTATACAGTGCAAAGTTTAATAGTACTACTCCGGAACCGACTCGACGGCACTTAACAACAACAACAACTTAGGGGCTAGAGGAAGCGGGGAGGGGAGCAGAAGGAGCTGTGCTCAGGAAACACTGAACTTCAGTTCAGGATGGTGGAAAACTTTGGAATCGGATAGAGGTGATGTTGCAAAACATGATGTATATCCCTAACTGTACAGGTGAAAAAATGCTGAAATGATACTTTGCTACATAAAGAAGCTGTTTGTGGGGGAAGCAGGGGACCTTCCTTAGCCTAAAGGTCTGAGCAGTGGTGCTGAGCTGGTGGGGGCCTTGGGTGCATATGCCCCAAGCCTCCACTCCAACCAGCCCGGGCTTTTCACAGTGCGCCTGAAGAAGGAGGAGAAGAATCGACAGGAACTGGAGAAACTGAAGCGGAAGCTGGAGGGAGAGGCCAGCGACTTCCACGAGCAGATCGCTGACCTGCAGGCCCAGATCGCTGAGCTCAAGATGCAGCTGGCCAAGAAGGAGGAGGAGCTGCAGGCAGCCCTGGCCAGGTAGCGTGGGACCATTGCGTATGTTCGCGTGACCCTGGGCTAGGTGCCCGGGTCAGTTCCTTAGCCACCCACCTTGCAGTCTGACCCATATTAGCTCTATCGCCTATTGCTGCCCCTTTTCATGTCAAAACCATCATGGTCAAAACCAGCCACTGGTTCTTCCACGAAGCTCCTTGCAGTGTGAACAGTACTTCATTCTCGGGCCTCATGTTCACTAGACCAGGCCCTAAACGTCTCCCCAAGCAGCGCCTAGTCAAGTGCTTTGCTGGATCAGACTTTCAGCAGATGGACAAATGGAAGAAAGAATTGTTTCACCTGCAGAAAGTATCTGAGAAAGGTCTACTGTCAACCACACAAAGGCCACTGAGGGGCATACATGGTTTGTCTTCATCTATTGGTGTAGGTACTGTATGGATAAGCATTGGACTGCTAACCACAAGGTTGGCAGCTCAAACCCACCAGATGCTCCTCAGAAACCCTATATAGTGTTGCTCTGAGTTGGAATCAACTCAGTGGCACGTAACAACAACTAATGAAAAGTTGGTGCTTCTAATCCACTCAGTGGTACCATGGGAGAAAAAGCTGGTGATCTGCTTCCGTAATAATCGTTGATAAAGTGCTGTAGAGTTGGTTTGGACACATAGTGACCTTGTGTAGGGTTTCTGAGGAGAAGCTGGTGGGTTTGAACCGCCAACCTTGTGGTTCAAACAGAAATCGCCGTCCCGTGCTTAACCTGCAGCACCACACCAGGACTCCTCTGTGATAATCAGTCAAGAAAACCCTACGGAGCTGTTCTCTGTAACACATGGGGTCAGCAGGCACCTTGCTCGTCTGAAATGGTGCTTTGTGTTCTTTCAACACAATCCCCATCAGTGGCCGGTTTCTTAGGCTACAGCCGGACACTCACTTCCTTCATGAATGTCTCCCATCTTGGGCCCGTCAGTGGGACACACTTGATTTCTGTTGACAAGAGTGGCGGGTTCCAAATCTGTCTAGGCTGGGCTGATGAAAGGAAATGAGGATAGGTCTCTTGTGATACAACAGTGAATAATTGTTATCAGGACTGATTGTGAGGGCTGGAAATGTAAAGGTAGACATTTTGTAGCAAGGAGGGGAGTGATTGACTTTGCAGTCCAGGAGCAGAGGTCCCTAGGACCATCAAGGGAGAAGAGCGGAGAGCGAGACCCTGCCCAGAGAAGCAGTAATGGCTGAAATGGAGGCAGAGATGATGACGTGGAGCGATGGAGCAGCTGGGGACTCTAGACCCAGAGAGGGAGAGCAACTGTGTGCTGATGACCGGGGGTGGGGTGGGGACAGGCTTGCAGGGTATACCCTTTGGTTGGTTGATGATGCATGCAGGGGATTGTAACTATGGAAAATAAAAACAATAAAAGAGTGGCGGGTTCCAGAAGACACTTGGGGGTCCTTCATTCTGCTTATGTCTGGCTGGCAGGCTGGATGACGAGACTGCGCAGAAGAACAACGCTCTGAAGAAGATCCGGGAGCTGGAGGGCTACATCTCCGACCTTCAGGAGGACCTAGACTCCGAGCGGGCGGCCAGGAACAAGGCCGAGAAGCAGAAGAGGGACCTGGGGGAAGAGCTGGAGGCGCTAAAGACAGAGCTGGAGGATACCCTGGATAGCACAGCCACACAGCAGGAACTCAGGTGAGAAGGTAGCCGCCCACTAGATGCACAACTCAAGGCCCCTGGAACTGATGAGCCAGTGGTGTGACCCAGGGGGCTTCTCGTGCACTGTGCTTTCTGTCCGGATCCCATGCTGCTCTAACCTGAGACTATAGTTCTAATCTGACTTTGCATCCTAATATTAGTGCATGCTCAAAGACGGCAGTAAAATCACCCTCAGCACCCCAGTTAACACTGTTGAGATGTTCCTTCCTGCCCTTTCGTGGACACTAGTCATCCTTCCAATCAGCTCTTGTAGCGTAGTGGTTACGAATCGGGCTGCTAACCTCAAAGTCAGCAATTTGACGCGACCCGCTGTTCTGCAGGAGAAAGATGAGACTTTCTGCTCCCGTAAAGATTTACAGCCTCAGAAGCCCTGTACAGGGTCACTATGAGTCAGAACCGACTCCATGGTACTTAACAACTGAAAGGCTGGCAATGGAAACCCCAGGGAACACAGTTCTACTCAGACACATATGGGGCACCAGGAATCAGGGTCCACTTAGCAGCAAATATTTTTAATGTAAATTTTTGTATTTAATTTCAAAAATAACATTCATCTTATCCATCTATATGAATACATACCTATGAAGGGGCTTCAAACAGTTTGTAGGAAATTCCATGATCTTCTCATTCAATTTTTCCATGAAAATTTTGAAGCCCCCCTGTATGTGTGTTTTTCAACTTTCATATTTGAAATAATTATCCGATTGGTTTGGGTTTTGAGAGCTACTACTACAGACAAACACATAGCAACAACTGTGAATCAGACTGCTTGTCTGAAAATAAATGCTGACCCAGGGAAACTAGATCATCAATTCACTCAACAAATACAGTAAAAACTGTGAGAGGCAGAACTTGATAGGACTGCCTTTTCTGTCACCTGTAAAACTGAAATAATCACATACCTGCCCCTCTTTGGTTGCTGTGAAGATTAGAGGGGTTGATGGGCTTGGTTCATTTTTAGTAAACTCAAACTCCATTTATTGCCATTGAAGTCTATTCATAGTCACGATGCCATGTTCTGGGTTATGTACTCCATGGGATTTAGTGGCTGGCTTTTCAGAAGTAGAAGGTCAGGCCTTTTTTCAAGGATCTTCTGGGTGAATTCAAACTGCCAGTTTTTTTTTATTAGTAGATGAGTGCTTAATCTTTTGCAAACTCAGGGACTCAGTGCCACATAGTAAGTGCTCTATAAATTGTTTAGTACCATCGAGTCGTTTTCTGACCCATAGCGACTCTGCATCGGATTTCTGAGAAGTGGCTAGTGAGCTTGAACCGCCGACCTTGTGGTTCAAACTGACTTGGCAGTCCAGCGCATTAACCCACAGTGCCACAGCAGGCTCTATGAATGTTGTTACGTGCCGTGGAGTCGGTTCCAACCCATAGCGACCCTGTATAGGGTTTCTGAGGCTATAAATCTTTACGGGAACAGAAAGCCTCCTCGTTCTCCTGTGGAACAGCTGGTAGTTTTGAACTACTGACCATGTGGTTCACAGCCCGATTTGTAACCACTACGCTACCAGAGCTCCTTGGCTCTATGAATAGGAGTAAACATTTGAGGACTATTTTGCAGCTCAGAGTTCTCTCAGCAGTATTATTTTGTGCATTTTTTTTTTTTTTTGGATGGCCCTATGAAAGACGTTGATGAGGTAGCATGATGTGTTGTGCAGCTGAGGACATTTGAGGCCGAGAGGCTAGGTGATTGTCCCAAGGTCACACAGCATGGGAGGGCAGTGGTGGGGACTTGAGCTCTTGTCCCCTGCACAAACACCTGTCTCCACTCCACCACATCTTGTGTGTTCTCCTTATCAAGGGCCAAGAGGGAGCAGGAAGTGACTGTGCTGAAGAGAGCCCTGGATGAAGAGACACGGTCCCATGAGGCGCAAGTCCAGGAGATGAGGCAGAAGCACACGCAGGCAGTGGAGGAGCTCACTGAACAGCTCGAGCAGTTCAAGAGGGTGAGTCACGGGGCTCCCCTAGGACCACAGGGCACAGCATGACAGCTTCAAGTACCTAAGCCCAGGGACTGAAGGATGAGTTCCTGGGTGGCTTGACTACTAGCCGACAGGTTGACAGTTGGAACCCACCCAGAGGTGCCTAGAGACTGGTGGGTCTGCTTCTGAAAGGGCACTTCACACACGTGAATAGACTTGTCTACTAACAACATGGGTCCAACAGAAACTTGTACAGACTCCTGCTTAGCCCGTCCATGAATCTGCACAACCCCCAGGTGAGGGGGCTACTAGGAAGCCCATTGGACACGTGAAGAAGGTATGAGTGCTGAGAGTAGAAGAGGCTTACTCAAGGTCACACAGCTAGTAAGGGCGCAGACATGATTCAAATCCAAGAAGCGTTGTCCCCCTGCAGAGCCCTTAGGTGTCATCAAGTCGGTTCCAACTCACAGTGACCCCTGTGCACAACAGAACGAGCCATCGCCCAGTCCTGCACCACCCTCAGTTACGTGTGAGCCCACTGCTGCTGCCACTGTGTCAATCCGTCTCATTGGGGGTCTTCCTTTTTCATTGACCCTCCACTTTACCAGGCAAGATATCCTTCTCCAGAGACTGGTCCCTTCTGATAACTTGTCGGAAGTCGGTCTTACCATCCTAACATCTAAGGAGCATTCTGGCTGTACTTTTTCCAAGAAAGATTTGTTTCTTCTGGCGCTCCATGGTGCTTTTCAACATTGTCAACACTGTAACTCAAATGCATCGATTCTTCTCCAGTCCACAACATACTGCTCCTTGTGAATCAGCAGCTTCTGCAGGAAACTTTTAGTTGAGAGCGATGGCTCCAGAGAATAAGCACTGGACTGTGAACTACAAGGTCTGCGGTTCGAGTCCACAGCCTCTCCTTGGGAGAAAGATGAGGCTTTCTGCTCCCGCAACGAATAGTCTCAGAAACGCTATATAGGGTCGCTATGAGTTGGAATTGACTCAATGGCACGTAACAACAAATCTAAATTTATGGAATGCCGGTACCAGGTGGCGCTGTGGGATAAAGCGCTGACTGTATGGTTGGCAGTTCAAACTCACCAGCTGCTACTTGGAAACCCTATGGGGTCACTATGAGTTGGAACCGACTTGACAGCACTTAACAACAGCTAACAACGTTCACCTTGATCTCTCTGCAGATTGAAAGCAAGCTCATTATTTTACCTCAGTGGCAACACAGATTTCTGGCACAGCTTGAGAGTCTGTGGTTCTCTTCTCCTTTTGTTGGGCTCGATCTGGGACTGTAAAGGACAGCACTACTTGGAATTGTTCTGTAGCAGGTGCTTCTCTCTGGCTTTTTTTAGCTTGGAACAGCCCACTGAGTCGAACCCCTGAAAGTCTGGACTAATTTATACCACCTGCAGTGTATGTTAGCTGCTAACAGGAACTGCGTCGCCACGTGCTCGAGTGCAATGTGCCCAGGTGGCGCTTGCTATAGGATAAACACCCCAGCCACTCTGCTGGACAAAAATGAAGTTTTCTGTACCCATAAAGATGTGCAGCCTGGAAACCCTCTTGTTAGGCCAGTTATGATTCATGGTGACCCTGTATAGGGTTTCTGAGGAGCAGCTGGTGGATATGAACCACCAACTTTGTGGTTTGTAGTCCACTGCTTGTTCCACAGCACCACACCAGTTATCTATATGTATACTGTTGTTAAGTGTCATCGAGTTGGTTCTGACTCATAGTGACCCTGTATAAGGTTTTCAAGGAGCAGCTTGTGAGTATGAACTGCCGACTTTGTGGTTCTCAGGAGTCCTGGTGTGGCGCTGTGGGTCAATGCAACAGACTGCAAAGCTGTTTGAACTGCAAGGTCCATAGTTCAAGCTCACCAGCTGCTCCTCGGAAACCCTATACAGGGTCACCATGGGTCGGAACTGACTAGACAGCACTTCATAAGAACAAGTCGAGTGCTGACTGTATGGCGCCACATGTTGTACAGCTGTGTAATTTACCTAGGCGTACTACCTGCGAAACAATATGGTACAGTAAAAGTCACCAATTTTAAGTGTATCGTCCAAGGAAATTTAACAAATGTACACACATGTATCACCATGCCTAGTCATGATACAGAACATTAGCAATCCAGATTATCACATTAAATTTCTTTATTAAAATGTTGGCTATTAATTTAAAAATATAAGAAAAAAAGATAAAAGGGGGAGGTGGGGTTCTGAATGGGCCAAATCAGTAAGGAGGCAGTTTGGCTTGCCGGTTGGCAATCTGACACGGTTGCCTGGTGAGTGTGTTCTCCACCCTGCCCTCCCAGCCACAGCAGTGACGCCCTTCCTCTCCTCTGCTTGTCTGACCAGGCCAAGGCGAACCTGGACAAGAACAAGCAGACGCTGGAGAAGGAGAACGCAGACCTGGCCGGTGAGCTGCGGGTTCTGAGCCAGGCAAAGCAGGAAGTGGAGCACAAGAAGAAGAAACTGGAGGTTCAGCTGCAGGAACTGCAGTCCAAGTGCAGCGATGGCGAGCGGGCCCGCGCCGAGCTCACCGACAAGGTCCACAAGCTGCAGGTGAGGAGGCCAAGGGATGCAGCTCCTCCCCGTCTCTCTTACTCCAAAGCTGGTTGGTTCCCGCTAGTTACAGTCCTCAAGATGGGGCACCCTATTCAATTTCATCTTTAAAAAAAAAAAAATCATTTGCTCTTTTAGCAAGTAAGTATTTGAGCACCTGCTGTGTGCTAGGCATTGTGCTGAATCCTGAGACACAACAGCAAGGAAGAAAATACTCTGGCTGTAGCCTGGTTGGACTCCAGCCTAGTGGAGGACTGAGGGCATTCTAATCACACAAATGCATACAAGATTAGGCCAGCAAAGCAAGGCACATAATGCAGTAAGTCTAAGTAACCTGAGGCCCTAGCCTGGGACTGAGAGGGACCAGGGTCAGCTTCCCCAAGGAGGTCTATCTGACAGGAAACAGCATATGAAAGGCCCAGTGGTGGGCGGGAACATTAAGAGATCAAATAAGGCCAGTCCGTTGGAATGTCCAACTGATAGTAGTCGTACAACCTGAGATGACGGAGGTAGGTTGTAGTCAGATGGTGTCGAGCCTTTGAGGCCCTATTATACACATGTTGGTCTTACCCTGAGTGATGGGGATCCACCGATAGATTTTACACTGAGAATGACAAGGTGTGGTTATCTTTGGTGTAACTTCGCCTGACTTGATTATTCGTGGGTTAGAGCTAAACTTTTAATATTTCATGTTTTCAGTGTAGGCCAAAGGGGGTAGGGTGCAGCGTGAGGATGATTTTCCCACATAGCATTGGGAGCAATGGTTTTACTAGCCTAACAAAGCCATGACCTTGAGGACCAGAGCCAATAACCGATGCTTATGTTGTAAATAGGAATAGGATGGACAGCAGACTGGTATCTCCCCGAGTAAATGGCAGAAAATGCAGCAGAGGGACTTCCACCTTTTGTCTTTGGTTTGCGCTGTTAACGATCAGTATAGACGCACAAAGATAATAGGGTGAGGAAGAGGGCTGGTGGGACAGGGTCCCGAAAGTTCAGGTACCCTCCTGTATCTCCTCTTTATGGTAACCAGTGGCCAAGTCCAGAGCCTCTCTCAGTGTCCAGACTCAGACCTGTTGCTGCATCTGCTGAACTTGGCAAGGACCCAGGATCCATTTGGGGGGATCAGGGTCCAATCAATAGAGTTTAGAGTTCTAACAGGTTCTTAGAACTGAGAGCCAGGGATCCCATCCTATAGGCCATGAACTTCCTCGGAGGCCTAAGTAATAAGTCTAAGTAACCTGAGGTTACTTTTTATCAGGGTTTAATGCCCCCATGGGCCTGTTCTCAACCGGTGGGTACCACACATTCCCTGCGTGATGGGTTTGGAGTAAAAGGGCTCATCATGAGGGTTGCGATACTGCTTAGAGGCTCCAACTAACTGTCTCTCTTGGTGCCCTCAGAACGAAGTGGAGAGTGTCACAGGCATGCTCAATGATGCAGAAGGGAAGGCCATCAAACTGGCCAAGGATGTGGCATCCCTTGGATCCCAGCTCCAGGATACCCAGGTGAGTATCCTGCCGTGTCATCCAGGGGGACCTGGGGCATCACATTCCTGGGGGGTGGGTCCCTGGAATCCTCCTTGTATCATTTTCGTAGGAGCTTCTTCAAGAAGAAACACGGCAGAAACTCAATGTGTCCACCAAGCTGCGCCAACTGGAGGATGAGAGGAACAGCCTGCAGGAGCAGCTGGACGAGGAGGTGGAGGCCAAGCAGAATCTTGAACGCCACATATCAACTCTGAACATACAGGTGCCGGCTACACGTCCGTGCTTCAGACGTGATCCTCTCAATTCTTTTCTGGGCTTACGGTCTTCCAGTGGAGACGGTGTGTGTTCTGATGGTTTAAGAGTAGAAACTTGGCGCCATTGTGCCTGGTTTGCTGGGTCTCTTCCTGTCGGTGGTTTTCTCCAATGAGAAGAAAGTTGTCTTCTCAGGGTTTGTGGGGAAAGGGATCACCTAGCGGCCTTCCTCTCAGTCCACCCTGGATACTGCCATTTCAGCTGTCCGATTCAAAAAAGAAGCTGCAGGACTTTGCCAGCACCGTGGAAGCCATGGAAGAGGGCAAGAAGAGGTTCCAGAAGGAAATTGAAGGCCTCACCCAGCAGTTTGAAGAGAAGGCAGCTGCCTATGACAAACTGGAAAAGACCAAGAACAGGCTTCAGCAAGAGCTGGACGACCTGCTCGTCGACTTGGACAACCAGCGGCAACTGGTGTCCAACCTGGAAAAGAAGCAGAAGAAGTTTGATCAGGTAGGACGGGCGGCAGGAGTGCCCTCTCCTTCATTCACTGACGCTGCTGTGGGGGTCAGGTGTGGCTGGGGTGTCTGCCTCTGAATCTCTTCTTCTGCTTTGCTGGAAGCAATGGAAAGTCCTCCTGCTTTGTTTGACCAGGAAACATTAGGACTCCTCATTCAGAGTGAAGACAGCAGAGGGGCCTTGAGAACTGTGGGGTTCTCTACAATACCACTACCAGGGCCAGTTGTAGACACAGTGTCTAGTCCTATAAGGAATGAGGATCGTTTATTTTACTTGCTCAACAAATAGTGGAGTGTGCACTGAACATTCCAAGCAAATCAAAGTTTATACTTTTTTTAAATACCAACTTTCCCCCAACATTGCGTTATGAAAAATTTCAAGCATACAGGAAAGTTGAAAGAATTGTATGGTGCATACCCACCTGGATTCAATTGTTAACATTTTATTCTAGCTGCTGGATCAGTTACTCTTAACGATGAATCCTATCTACCAACAGGCAATGCAAAATGGCAGGCATCTCTACACTTTCTCCTTAAAATGTATACACCATGAAATGCACTCATCTTAAGTGTTCTGATAAATGCATACACCTCTATGATCCAAACACTTAAATACCAATTTCTAATCCATTTTATCCAAATTCAGTAAATGTGGTTTAGTTGACAGATAATTCAAATGTTATTCTACAAATCAACTTCTGGATTATACCACGAGGCCAACTGCCAGAGGCCTTGGTATGCTGAGTGTCCATAGGTTCTCTCCCCTTTGCTCATCAGTCAGCTCATCCTTCATTGCTTCACTACCTAGTGATGGGTTTAAGGTTGCTGCCTTCACGGGCGGGCTTCTGCAAATTTGGTCTTTGGATGTTATGGTGTTCCGTCTTTTTAAAGATGAATTCACTCCAGGGTGGTGAGTTCTTTGAGCTGCTTCTCCAAGCCCAGTGATAGCTGGGTACATTTCCATCCATATATTCACCACCTCCTACTGTGGCTGGGAGCTCTGAGAGCGTAGTGGTTATGAGTTGAGCTGCTAACCTCAAGGTCAGCAATTCAAAACTAGCAGTCATTCCTCAGGAGAAAGGTGAGGTTTTCTGCTCCCATAAAGATTTACAACCTCGGAAACCCTATACAGGGTTTCTATGAGTCAGAAACTGACTCCACAGCACACAACCACCACCACCTACTGGGGCTGAGAGGGCATTTGACCATGAAACATCAAATGAATTCATTGATCTCTGGCAGGATTACACATTGCTTTGACTAACCAACATGGGCAACTTTGGAGATGTTGAGCTCATTCTGGCTCCTCCTAAGATTGCACAAGGATTATAAACCATGTCTGTAGAGGGCCACATTACTTATGCCCACCCCTGGATACATTCAGTAGGAGACAGGTTTCTTCCCCCAGTGAATCAAAGCCAGCCTAAGTGTCTACCTCTGGGTCTTATTTTGTAGTTGTTAGCCGAAGAGAAAAACATCTCTTCCAAGTATGCGGATGAAAGGGACCGAGCTGAAGCAGAAGCCAGGGAAAAGGAAACCAAGGCCTTGTCCCTGGCTCGGGCCCTAGAAGAGGCTTTAGAGGCCAAGGAAGAACTTGAGCGGACCAACAAGATGCTCAAAGCTGAGATGGAAGACCTGGTTAGCTCCAAGGATGATGTGGGCAAGAATGTAAGTCACTCATTATTGTTGTTGCTTATCCACATTTCAAACCTCTTGGTTATTGATAAGCAATAACCAGGGGCTGAAGGCAGTCTTCCGGTGGGGAGTGGTTTGGGGTCATGGCTGGGCTCCTAGTTAAGGACTCTGGTCTGTGCTCCCCGGGGCCATGTTGATTCAAAGCTAGGCAGGCTGCTTGCAACCAGTGCCACCCCCTGACCTGAGCGAGCTGCTTCTGGCCAGGGGTGGGCAGCCCTCCCAGAAAACGTGCTCCTCTCTACCTGAAGGTCCATGAACTGGAGAAGTCCAAGCGCGCCCTGGAGACCCAGATGGAGGAGATGAAGACCCAGCTGGAGGAGCTCGAGGATGAGCTGCAGGCCACGGAAGATGCCAAGCTGCGGCTGGAGGTCAACATGCAGGCCCTCAAGGGTCAGTTCGAGAGAGATCTCCAAGCCCGGGATGAACAGAATGAGGAGAAGCGAAGACAACTCCAGAGGCAGGTAGGCCATGTTGGGAGGGGAGCAAGAGCAGCCTGGTCTGATCCGATCACCACTCCCAGCTGCACGGACACCTTCTCTCGTTTGCAACCTGGGGATGAGCACACCTACCTGGCAGGTAGCTGTGGGGGTGGCAGGAATGGGGTTCAGGGTACAACCCAGCAGCACTTGGTGCTCTTCCCTTACCCAGCTGCACGAGTACGAGACGGAACTGGAAGACGAACGCAAGCAACGTGCCCTGGCAGCCGCGGCCAAGAAGAAGCTGGAAGGGGATCTGAAGGACCTGGAGCTACAGGCCGACTCGGCCATCAAGGGGCGGGAGGAGGCCATCAAGCAGCTGCGGAAACTGCAGGTGGGTGAAGCCGTGTGGGAGGAAGGTGGCTCCAGCTCCCCACAGGCAGGTGCACACGTAGAACGATGATGGTCTCTGACTTTGGTACAAGTTCGGCTGGGATTTCTCCATCACCATTCAGTTTTGGAGAAGCCAGTTACTGTTAAGTCGGATTCATGGTGATTTATGTGCGACAGAGTACCGCTGTGCTCCATGGGGTTTTTAATGGCTGAATTTTCAGAAGTAGAATGAAAACTGCCTCGGGGTGGACTTGAACCTCAGTAGCTGAGTGCACTTGTCCTTGGATCAAGCCCTGTTATTAGACTTCTGGCCACTGCTCTCAGAATCCACAGATTCTTGATCATGCCAGACAGGCCCACCGTAAATGGTGCCCCCAGCAATGTCTGTAACTGGGACTCCTCTGGGGACTCCCATTGGGGTTGGCCTAGAAGGGTGAGCTGGCTGAGTAAGGACCATTTACCTTGTCCTCATCCTCTCTGTGGACTCACACAGGCACAGATGAAGGACTTCCAGAGAGAGCTAGAAGATGCCCGAGCATCCAGGGACGAGATCTTTGCCACAGCCAAAGAGAATGAGAAGAAAGCCAAGAGCTTAGAAGCTGACCTCATGCAGCTCCAAGAGGTAATGCCTTCTGGACAGGACAGCCTCCGGGGCTCAGAGTGGTGCCTTCAAGATTTCTGGGCCCCCAGCAACCTTCCTCATGGGCTTACCCATTGTAAGACTTTTCAAAGGTCCATGCTTTCCTGATGCATCTGTAAGCTTGGAGGACCACCATCCCCAAGGTGGCTGCAGTCTGGGGGCTGTGGTGGGAAGGGACTGGGCTCCACGGTCCCCCAGAAGACAGCAGGTGTCCTTCCCGGCCCCCCAGGATCTCGCAGCCGCTGAGCGGGCTCGCAAACAGGCAGACCTGGAGAAGGAGGAGCTGTCAGAGGAGTTGGCCAGCAGCGTGTCTGGAAGGTACGGAGCCCCTGCGCCCCTGCACTGCGAGAAGGGGTGCTCTAGACTCAAAGGCAGAGGGGAGAGCCTTGTGGACCCTCGCTGGATGAGCTGCAAGGTGGAGACCAGGAGGCTGGGAGGTGTCAGGAGAACACATCCCACGCCTGATGCACGAGGTGCAGGTCCTGTTCCCAGCTTCCAACTAGACTCGGTGGTTTCCTCCGTGTAAAATGAGGGCTGGGAGCGGGTGTGTTCCCAGCCAGGGTGAGACTAGAGCCTGTGGGGGTGGTATCTCCCTTAGGAACGCACTTCAGGATGACAAGCGCCGCCTGGAGGCCCGGATCGCCCAGCTGGAGGAGGAATTGGAGGAGGAGCAAGGCAACATGGAAGCCATGAGTGACCGCTTCCGGAAAGCCACGCAGCAGGTAAGGCATACCACAGATTGCTGCAGGGCCAGGGCTCCAGCCGGGGCTCCGTGGCATGCCCTAAAGGCCCCTTGTGAGTCCTCCCTTCAGTAGACCGCACGTCACAGGGGTGGACCCTGGCTCTCTCCTTACCGAGAGCAGGCCCTCAGTGGCATTCTGGATGAAGGCACCCCCCACCCCCATTACCCATTGTATGATGGAGGACCCATCACGTGACTGGCCCCAGTGCATCAGATGACAAGAGGCAGGAAGGAACAGGCACGTTTTGAGCTGTAAGTGGCTCATCACCTCAGAAGCATGGTTTCCTCACACCCACCTCATGGCCTCTCTCTGGTCCCCAGGCTGAGCAGCTCAACAACGAGCTGGCTACGGAGCGCAGCGCGGCCCAAAAGAATGAGAGCGCACGGCAGCAGCTGGAGCGGCAGAACAAAGAGCTCCGAAGCAAACTCCAAGAAATGGAGGGAGCGGTCAAGTCCAAGTTCAAGTCCACTATCACGGCATTGGAGGCCAAGATCACGCAGCTGGAGGAGCAGGTCGAGCAGGAGGCCAGGTAACATTGGGGAGGTCTTCTGGCCTGTGGAAGACAACATGGCCAACCCCAGGCTGTAGGTACGAAGTGAGACTTGAACGGGGAACCTGGCCAAGGGCTGATGCCTTAGACCCAGGTGCACTTGACCTGCGAGCTGCTTCTAGAGGCTGACTGGCCCAAGCCACACCTCCGAGGCATTCCACTGCTTTTCTGCCTGTGCTTGTAGGGACATCATGGTAACAAATGAAACGAATATAAAGCCCAGGTCTCCACTCATTCAGCACACAAATGGGAGGGCTTCTTAGCTCCTTAGGAGTTGTCTGAGGTCGGACGTCACGCCCATTCAGTGTACGATGTGGGGGATTTTAGCGTCCACAGACAGCAGCAACCATCACCCCCAAGTCTTCCCCTGCCCTAAGCACCCATGAATCCAGTTTGTTTCTGTCTCTGTGGATTTGATGGGCCTGTTCTGGATGAATCACCCATGGGGGTAGCATGAAATGGTACTTCATTCTTTTGGTGATAAAATGACAATCCAATTGCCCATTCTTGGTTGAGCTCAGAAAATGTACTCATGGGGGGTGAGATGGTCTGTCAGGTTTATGTACCCTCTGCCCCATGGGTTAATGGGCTCCTCGTCTCTGTGTGTGTCAGAGAGAAGCAGGCAGCCGCCAAGTCACTGAAGCAGAAGGACAAGAAGCTGAAGGAGGTCCTGCTGCAGGTAGAGGACGAGCGCAAGATGGCGGAGCAGTATAAAGAGCAGGTAAGCCTGCTCACGGAGCCCTGGGCTGCTATCTGTGAAGTCAGCAGTTCAAACCCACTCAGTGTGAGAGAGATGAGGCTGACGGCTTCAGAAACCCTTTGGAGCAATTCTACTCTGTCCTATGGAGTTGCTATGAGCTCCACTGTAGTGGGTATTGTAACCTTGCCCGGCACGGGCCTTCTCAGCATCTCCTGTGCCCTGCTGACCCCCGTGTGCTCTCCTCACAGGCAGAGAAAGGAAACACGAGGGTCAAACAGCTCAAGAGGCAGCTGGAGGAGGCAGAGGAAGAGTCCCAGCGCATCAATGCCAACCGCAGGAAGCTGCAGCGGGAGCTGGATGAGGCCACGGAGAGCAACGAGGCCATGGGCCGGGAGGTGAATGCCCTCAAGAGCAAGCTCAGGTAAAACGCCTAGGGGGGAGAGATTGGGGGGGTGGGCGGCTCTCAGGCTGTGTGCACATGGCCCCCTGGCCTCTCTGCTCAGTATTATTCAGCACACCCTGGTGCATGCCTGGCATTGAAACAGCCCATCTATATCAAAGGGGCTTACCTTCCATGTTTTTTACAATGGGTTTCCCACCCCAGCCTCCTGTGGGGAGGAGAAACACAACATCAACATTGCTGACTTGTAAAACCTTTCTTTATCAGATCCTCAACATCTGCAAAGTGTCTATTCCCAACCGCTTTTCTCAAGGTTCCCTTCATGTTCTCGCTTGTGTTTCTCATCTCCGTATTACTGACATTTGGGGACTGATAAAATTCTGTTGAGTCGGGAGGGGGAGGGGGTGTCATCCTGTGCTCTATGGGATGTTAAGTAGCAATGAGAATGACTCTAGCCACTGTCCAGTGTCCCCTTGGTGGCACAGTTGTAACCAGAGCAGGGCTGTGTTGCACACACACATATACACACACACACACCCTGTGATTCTAGATTCTCTCATCAGCAGAGACCCAGCCTCTGTTCTTGCCCTTTTCTCCTCCATGCTCTTACTACCTGAGGGTTACCAGTTATTCTTTAAACCCTTTAAACCCACTGCCGTCCAAGTCCAACTCAAGGGTTTCTCCAGGACAGAGCAAAGCTGCTTCCTGGAGTTTTCGAGAAGACAGCCTCATCTTTCTCCCATGGAGTGGCTAGTGGCTGTCATCTTTTGGTTAGCAATCCAGTGCTTAACCTACTGTGCCCAGTCCTGAATAATTTTAACCATCCTGGCCAGCTTCTAGCCTGTAGTCGGTCATTCTCATGACCCCACCTTTTCCACAATGGCAGCTGAAAGCAGCAAGAAACAGAAACAGGGTGCCCAATGCTTGAGCACGAATGTCATGCTGTATGGCCCCTCTCCTGTTGGTGTGTGCCGCAGCTGATACTGACCAGAGTGACCCTAGAGGATGGAATAGAAACTGCATGTCGAGTTCCCAAGACTTTTTCTCCTGTTGAGCAGCTGGTGGGTTTGAACTGCTGACCTTTCAGTTAGCAGGCTCAGTGCTCATCCACTGTGCCACAGGGCTCCTTCCCCTTCTAGAGATCTGCTTTCTGCTTTTGACTGTTCTCTTCTCCATTCTCACCCTGACCCCCCCGTGTAACTGGGAAATCGAAATGATCGGAAATGAACACAAGCTCCCACTACCCACTTGCTGATTTCTGGGGCTGAACTGTCTAGAACCACTATTCTTGTTTACTCCAGAAGTTCTTACCTCTTTCTTTTACAAGCATGGTTTCCCTCTCATTGAATCACTCCAACAGCTTAAAAGATTTCTTAGTGCTGCCGAACTGCTCGAAAGCAGCTGTTGTCTGTAGGTCTTCTCCCCCGATCTCTCTCAAACCCACTCCAGTCAGCAACAGCCCTGTGGACAAAACCTCCTTGGCACTGTACTGCCCCCGGTGCCATCTTCTCATCTCCTGGCAAACTCCTTTGTAACTGCAACTAGTCTCCTGTGTCAGCAAAGAGACCATCCATGAGATGACCGATAACAGGGTCAAATACAGCAACACACACAACAAGGTTTCAATGAATCAGAGCCTGCTGCTGCAAGAACTGCACACCTTCCTGGCATCTTCGCTGAGGTGTCTAATAGGCATCTCCCGTCTTACACGCCCCACCCCGAACCCCATGCCAGCTGCTGTTAACTCAGAGCAAAACTTTGTCATCTTTCTGTTTCTCTCCTGTATCTTCCACATGGAGCCCAGAAAACCCAGGTCTGCTGTACCTGAACAATCTAGTCCATCCAGCCACTACTTGCTACCCTGGTACAAGCCAGCTGTCACCTCTCATCCTAGGCTCCGACTGGGTCTCTCTCTTCCACACTGCCCCGTGGAGTCTCTTCTCAACACAACAGCTAGAGTCAGGGTCAATGAAAGTCAAGCCATGTGGTCCCTCCTTTGCTCAGGACCTTCCACCTCACTCAGAGTCAAGCCAGAGTCCTTACAATGACTGGTCTCATGAGGTCCACACTGTCCGAGTCCACCGGCTCCTAAATTACCTGCCTCACTTCTATATACATCGCCTCGATGCCTTCGTACAGGTTGTTCCCTCGGCATGGAATGATCCTCGCCCAGACATCTGCAGGACCTTTACTGGAAAGTCACCCTGTCTACAGTCCCAACCTCACTCCTACAGCGCCCCGCTCTCCTAAGCCACGTCACCCCCTAACACACCATTTATTCTACATGTTTCATTGATGGTCGGTCTTCCCTCTCAGCCTGTAAACTCTGGAAGCACAGAAGTTGTCTGTGTTCATCCATGGTGTCTAGCAGCATGCTGGGCAGTCACCCTTCAATAAATGAATTATGGGTGATGTTCCCCTGCGTTCTCATGACACCTCCTCCTCCCTTTTGTCTTAGTCTCAGCCTACATCGCTTCTTAGTTTCTGTGAAATTAACTTCCCACCCCTACACGGTGGGACCAGTACCACCAGCGTACTAGATCCCAGTGAAAACAATGTGACCCATCTAGCTAAGTGGCCTCCTGCCCCAAACCTATATCTCCGTTAAAAAGGGAGTACCAAACAGACACATTTAAAGGGAGTGGGTTGTCTTTCTCATAATACAAGTCCACACATTTGGGAATCAGAGTAGAACCAGAAAAGCCAACTTCGGAGCAGACAGGCTGTTTCAGGGCACCATAATGGAATGGAAACCTGCAAGGTCTCGGTGGTACAGCAAGGACCCTGGGAGCAGCTCACAGGGTTTAGAGTTTGAGTCAGCAAACTTCTTACACTGCGAAGAGAGACTCTGCCCTCAACACACAACCAAATGAGAGTCTGCTAGGAGCTGGGCTGAGTGGTGGGGCGACAGTTGGCCGATCGAACCCCATAGCTTGGGCCCAACAATTCTATTAGTACACACAGAGCCCCCCTCTGGTGTTCAGCCCAGCTAGACAATGCAATCCAACCCTTATCAAACCATATCTGCCAGTCCTCACTTAGAGTTAAACAAGGTCGAAAGACGTACTTCTGCCATGCCCGTCTCGGGAGGCACGAAATTGAGGGCTCTGAATAAGCTTGGCCAGTGAGCAGAGAATTACCCACAAGTTTCACACTTTATCAGTCATTGTTTAAGGTCAGTCTCAGCACAAAGCAGTCGACATCGAATCGATTCTGACTCCTGGCACCCGCATGTGTGGTAACTAGAACGGGATTCCACAGGGTTGCCAAGGCTGTGTTCTTTTAGGAACAGACTGCCCGTCTTTCAGAGACCTCTGGGGTGGGTTCAAATAGCCAGCTTTTCGGTTAATAGCTGAGCACTTAACCAGGGGCCTCCTAAATCTCAACACAGGCTCTTTTTCAAGCCTGACCAACATTTCTGTCACTTGCCATGGGGCCAGACACCTCCAACGTGAGCTGCATAAGGCATCTCCACCTCTACCTCCTTTCTCGGGCCATAAGACCCAACACACTATCACAAAGTCAGATGCCATTGCGGGAGGCTCTCCCGTGACTGTGCAGCTTCTATTTCCAACACTGACCTTTGGGACTATCTTACCCCTAAAGCCTTCCTGACCAGGTTTGTATGATGAAAGGCAACAGTCTGACTTTAAAGGAGTTTGAAGCAGACGTTGTTAAAAACAAAACGTGATGAAAAACAGCACTGTTGTGTTGTGTGCCAGTCCAATAAACCCTCTTGGCTTCAGGGGCCTCACTGCAAGACTAACTTCAAAGTGCCTGAATGACTAAAAATGTACTTCATCGGGTGCCTTGGTTTTGCTGCTGGTAACCACCAGGGCCTCTCTTTCTGTTTCAGAGGCCCCCTCCCCCAGGAAACTCCGCAATGACTTGCCAGGTATCGAGCCTTCAGCTTTGCAGCTCGTGTGTGTTCTGCTGAGTTACCATATTCTTTCTGCCCATTGCCCCTGCTCTCCTTTCGTACCTTGCAAATTCCTGAGATACCTACAAAACTGGAAGGCTGGGATCTCTCTGTTCAAAACTTGTTTTAAATCAAAACCAAGATGAACACAACTCTGAAACCTCATTTCTTGACCCATGTTTCCTTCCCCTCTTCAGGGCACCTTGACAAATGATCCAGCACCCACAGGGCCGCGTCACTGAGTATGATCAGATATCAGGGCTATGTATGTGGCTTTTCTCTCACCTGCCTGGCGAGGGCCTCTCCTAACACTCAGAAGCTTGGCTCTCCCCACTTGTGCAGTCCAGACCCCCACTGAGTGGCTGTGACCATGCTCCACTGTTGAGGTACACGCCTAGAGAATGTACTTGATCTTGAGCTGGCTGGTCTGGTTCACAAATCAGAAATCGCAGGTCACGCAGCCAGGCCTAAAACTAGGGCCCAGTCTTGTCCTCCCCCAGTCAAGCATTTACAAACATGGCTGCGAAGGAAGTGAACACTCACTGCGATGTTGTACAAATGCCACGGCTGCACGAGATCTGCGCAGACGTCTCTGCGTACTGGACTGGCAGGACAGTGGGTGGGGGAGCCGGGCACTACAAAACCAAGCGCTTCAGTGCCTTGTCCGGAGGCCTCACAGGCATGTTCAAGGTCAAGGGAATGGTCACTCACGACTCAAGGAAGCCCAAGGGGCCCCTTCCCCAGAGAGCCAAGTCTCTACTCTGGATTCGAACCAGCTTTTCAATGTGAAGTTAGGCAGCTGGGACCTGGCTTCCCTCTCCCCACCCCTGGAGAGGCCAAACAAGCCCCAGCTATGTCCACCTTCTCTTCTGGACAATCTCAGCTTCGCTGTCGCCACCCAAATACTTAAAGCTGGGCAAGGGCTTAGCAAGAGTCGCTCTCACAGGGGAGCAGATACGTCAGCAGCATATGCTGGCTCGGAAGCCCTGTTAACGGGAATCACAGGAATAAGCTGGAAGCTAGGGCAGGCTGGAGGAAGGAGCCAGCAGTTGAAGGGAAGCAGAGTCCTTGCAACGCCCCAGGTGCTTACCCTTTTGTACTTAGCGCACTGGAGAAGTTCGAGTCCATGCAGAGCATCCCAGTTCTCTAGGATCAGCCCCTGTATGAAAACCTTCAGAGGGGTCCCTTCCTTCCCATGGCAAGAGAGTTAGCCTTTCCCTAGGGTGGAAACCAGGCTCCTCTAAGAAAGGTCCCCGAGCCAACAGACTGCCTTGTGGGAATGGGGTCCAAGAAGGACTTACAATCTAAGGATCAAGGAAGCAAATTCACAAACAGAATTCTGACTCCTAAGAGGCAAAACAGGAGCCCGTGGAGCTTTGAAGCTTAGGTTAGATAATGTTTCCCATCCTCCTCCCTGCGTCTCACTGGTTTTGCCACTGGAGGGCTGAGGTGGAAGGAGCTATACAGACAAGAGAGTCAATGTGAACTACACCTGATGCGCTCTACACCCCTCTCCCTTTGGGACTCTTCAGTCAGATCCAGGTTCTCAGGGAAGCTAGTGCTAAAGAGAGGATGTTGAAAGGTCACTTCCAGAGAGACCAACAGGCAGTCCTCAGGGAGCTGGAGCCTCGAGTTTCCCTGGAGTGAGTGGGGCTGGTCTAAGACCCTCTGGATGGGGTGGCTACAACTTTAAGTATTTATTCCTGATTGCTGCTCCTTGGGAAGCACCAGCCTCTGCAGGCTCATATTGGGACTCCCATTGTCAGCGATCATGAATCTCTGAGCCGTGCTTACGCCTCCAGTCTTCCCTGTCTGCGTCGTTTCTTTTGACTAAAGGGTTGGTAACTGGGGTGGGCTTACCCTGTGGCTTCTCCATACAGCCTGTTGTGCGATGAACAGGTCATTTTCATTACACAGTCTGCTTTCTTCTGAGATACCCTAACATGAGTTAAGCCTGGACACCAATCTGGGTCAAACAGGGTCCCGGGGGTGGGGGTAGGGGTAGGGGCGGGCTCACCAGTAATTCTGAAGTTACGCTGTTTCTTCCAAACAGCAGAAGTTAACTGCAGGCAGATCTGGCTTTTGTTCCGGCCCACCTCAGCCGCCGCCACGTCCCACCCAAAATCTCACCTCACAGGATCAGCCCTAGCAGGCCTGTGTGGTAACTCGGAGAAGGTATCCAACAGGACCAAAGAAAGGGAGAGGAGAGAAAGACTGAGAAAGAGGGGTCCTACTAGCTAGAGCTACAATACACCTTGAGTAGTATCCATGTGTAACTTATTTTTCTAATACTCACTGAGCATCTATTCACACACAGTGCCTACCCCGCGAGCAAAATAACCAAGGACAATCTTGCGCTGGTGGAACTAGGGCCAAGAAGCCCCACAATGGCAGAGGGCACAGCCTTGCTCTTTAGCCAGCGAGCACCCTGTCCCACTCCTCCGTCCACTTTCCCCTTCTGGGAGCCACTGGGCGGCTCTCTCTTGTCCCAGAGGTTGAAGCAAAAACATGGTAGGAGTAAATCTCCATCTCCCTTCACCCAATTCACAATGAAAAGTAAAAATCCATACAAGGCTGTAGATCAGAAGGCTGTGGGTCACCACACGGCTGAGTCAGTAGTTTTGTTTTTTTCTTTTTAAAGCAAATGATTTTGCTTTGAAAAACTTACTTTTTGTCCTTTTCAAACTGAGTACATACCTTAGGTCAGAATTGGCTGACTTCAACCTGAGTATTTGCATATGACTTGTGTTTGATTTTGCCCTACTTAAAAAAAAAAATTGATTCCAACGTTCAGGAAATGTTTTTTTGAAACCCACAGGCGAGGAAACGAGACCTCTTTTGTTCCTGCTAGAAGGTCTGGGGGACGGAGAGTAATTGAGAACGCAGAAGGTTCTGATGAAGAGATGGACGCTCGTGATGCCGATTTCAATGGAACCAAAGCCAGCGAATAAGCAACCAGCTAGCTGTGTACCTCAGCAGGGAAAAAAGCAAACAAACAAGACCCCCAACAAACCCAGAGGATACTTAGCACAGTCTAAATCCATTCTCAAATCCCAAACACCACAGACACCCATCACCATGAGTACAAAACCACCACCTGGGTTTGGGATATAAATTTACATTTTCTGCTGATGAAAGAAACCCAACAGGAAACACAAACACACCCTCTCTCTGCTTCTATCAATTGTGCAGAGACTTTTGAGTTTAGAAAAATATATTCACAGTAACCAATCACTGGCAACTTAGTTTACGTGAACTGGGGAGAAAGTTACCAACAAGATGGGGTGCCAATGCCCCCCGCTCCCAAACCATTCCCTGTCCTGTGTACTCTTCCAGTTCCTTGAGTTGGCCCGAGGATTTTTTTTTTTTCCTCTCTTGGTTACACCTCTGATTCACATACTTCACCGAGACCAAGTGCCTTTTTTAGTCACATGAATTAAAAAAAAAAAAAGACACTCTGCTCAGATGGGTAAGAGCAGGAATGTTCCACTGTTTTATATACACCCCGATTGTACTTACGGACACCTTCACTAATAAAAGGTTATAAATCACTAGAATGTAGTCAGCTTTTCTGTTGGGCAGTCTTCTGTAGAGCAAAAGAAAGAACATGAGGTGTTCTCGTTCCATCGTCATGACACCCCTAGAACAGCAGGGCTCCTGCTGCATCGGTAGAGAAACTGAGGTCCAGGGAGGCAGACTAACTTGCCCAAGATCTTCTCTCAAGGAGACAGAGAGATACAAAGTTGAGGACATCTGAGGAGGTTTCGGCCACCAAGAGTGGGTGAGCTGGGGTTAGCACAGCACTGCCCTCTAGACTGTCCATTAATAACCCAGAACAACTTTATCAGTAATATTGAGAGAGCAGAGACTTCTACTATTGCCTTCTTCCACCCAGCAGAGGTCAGAGTTTTGGTGAGGTTGGCAGGCTGTCTACATAGCGTCTCTGTCTTTAACAACTCTTTAAAGCTGTACCCGCATAGGCAGTGGCCTCTTACCTCCTCCATACTGAGTGTCTCAGTCATTCATTCAATCTGGACTCTTACATGCATACACACACCAGCCCAGTGCCATATAGCAGCTTGGAGGAATGAGGAAATTTGGAAACTTAGACTCAACGGACTCCTCAATAGCTAAAGTGCCTTTAATGATACACGAACATATCCTTAACATGTTTCCAAAAAGCTGACTTGAATGGCAATTTATAAAGAGCATTTCTTTTTTAGCTACTTACCGGGTTAAAAATGAAAGATAAAACCATTCCCCATCACCACGTGTGCCAACAGGAGAACCAACGTGTGAAGCAGCATTAAGCACACCACCACCAACTAACTGGACTGTGGTTTCTCTTGATTTTATTGTTCTTTAAAAAAAAATAAAAGCACACTTTGACTGACAGACGTTATGGAGGTTTCTGAGTGTAGCAGACCAAGCACAGTAGTTTAATTCTCCTGCGGGCCTTCGGTGGTGCTTACGAGGTTCTGTTTACAATTTGGAGACGCTTTTGCTGTGTTGTATTTTTTTAAATACCTTAGTACCCAAAGGAAGGTCATTAGGTGATGAGCAAGCTGTAAAGTGAGTGTATGGGTTTTTTTTTTTTTTATTTGAGTTTGACAATGGGAAAGACACTAGTTCTAACCTGTAGTGCTGAGGATGGATACACGCTGCCAAGTGTTTGGAATCCTGGGCTCATCTCCCAGTTTGAAAGGCGACCTCCAACAATATTCCCGTGTTTGCATCTCATTGAACTGAAGGTCGGTGGTTCGAATCCGCCAGTTGCTCCTCAAAAACCCTATACAGGGCCACTATGACTCAACAACACTTAACAATAGAGGAGAGTGTGAGCGTCAGGGAGACATCTCTCTCCTCGTCACCTACGTCCTGCCATTAGTGCTCCTGCAGGCCCCCATTGGGTGTGTGTGTGTGTGTGTGTGACCTCAGCTTCTGGACCTCGAGGGCCTTAGTAGTGCAGTCCTGAAGAACAAGGTCAATGAATCAGGTGACCTTCACATATGGAGATGCAAACACAAGGACTGTTGTTGGAGTTGCCTTTTCAAACCAGGAAAGGAACCCAAGCTTCCCAGCACTGGGCGATGAGCACCCATTCACAGCACCCACTGCGGGTTAAAACGCTTCTTCAGGGGCGTACTACTCTTTAAGGAAGGCTTGTGCTTACTTCACTCTTTAACCCTACACATGATTTCAATCTACCAGTCCTTTCTCAAAGCCTTGGGTGTTTTGTTCTGGAAAATTCCAGGCGCATGGAGGTTGGGGGTAAGAGCTTAAAAAGGCACAGTGATCCTCTGGAATGGGCGCAACGATGCCTACGTTTATGGAGTCTCCAAACATTAAAACACCTCTTGAGAGGACGGGATTCTTGGGTTAGCGGCCACACTGGCCTCATCACCCCCATCTGAGAGCTCTTTCTAGAAGGTCCAATCTGTCCCCACCCCTTTGTAACACAAAACAAGGCTGGAGTTCCTCATACCACCGTTCATGAGGATGAACACCAGGGTCCACTGCTGACAGCCTCAAGTCACATATTTGGCCCATAGAGCACACAGCTAACTACGGGGGCTGCTATTTTTCCTCAAACTTAGAAAAATTAAAAAACAACAACAGTTTAAAGAGTAGAAGAAAGGTGACGGGACAACTTGGGAACACCACCAGAGCTCCAGCTTCCGCGGCTCTCCTAAAGCAACATCTTGACTACACCCTGGGCCGACGAAGACGACTTCCCAAACTCCAGGCGTTTTCCCAACCTTCAGACAGAGCAAACCAAATTAAGCTGGAGGCAACAGCTGTTGTAATCTGGCTAGCACCAGGCACACAAGTTCTAAGGTTGAACAACAAGAGAGTCGGAACAACGGGTTGCCAAGTCCCAATGGTCCCTCCAAGTAAAACAACGGGAAGTACCCCGCTGTCTATCTTTGGTAGTCCCAAAGCTGAACACAAGTCCACGCTCAGAACCCCTCCCCCCACAACAAGCCCATTTCGAAAGGTCTGAACGCCATGTGCACATCAGGAAAAAACCAGTTCTGAAGCTCCCGCCGCTAGCCTGCCACAGACCCATCACATTTCTGTGGCCTGGGGAGACGGTGGGCTTACGAGACGGCTTCAAAAAGTTCATGGAAAAAGTCCATTCTCTTTTATATATTTTCCGTGAACTTTTTGAAGCCATTCGTATTTTACACAAAACTGTCAAACCTGAAAGCTTCCCTAGTTTTCTTTATGAATGAAAATAAATGATGCTACCTGAGGTCATACTTGTATTTTCCAATCGGGTGACTGCCTAGAATTTAGTGCCAGTTTCTTAAAGGCTTTAAAGACTAAAATTAACTACCCTGCTCTCTGGCAGAAGCAAGGCAGTGTTTGCAGCTCAACTCCCAAACACACGTTCAGCGAATCCGAATCCAAACTAAACCCCACTCTCCTTGGCTGTTTGCCCAAACTAGAGCACACCAGCCCATCTGCTTCACAGGAGGGGTAGACATAAAGCATGCTGACGTAATATTACAACCTTCTGAAAAATGGGTACGGGCTGGGGATTAGAGGCCCCACCTACCCACCCACCCACCTAGTGGCTATATCAGAAGATACTAACCCTTTATCACCCAAAGGCCCGCTGATGCTGCTGACCCGTTTGTCACTGCCGTCTCTGTTCTTGCTCCCCCTCCCAGAAGCTGGGCCACTGGTTCGGTTTGGGGACTGATCGTATACGAAGTTCCTGCAGGATGCAAGTTTGGACTCCAGGGCCTGGAGAGAGACATGAGGTGATGGTTCACATCTGATATGTTAACTATGGATTCATGCTAGGCTCGGATTCTTAGCGCTTTTGCCAAACACCAGACAACCAGATCTTGTACTATGAAGTCATACAATGCAATGTTATCAATTCCTGTAACAACATCAGTCATTTGAAATGGAAGTGCTTTAAGGTGTGGTCGGCTTCAGAACACAGACACAAATTCTGGCAGACCTCCCTCTCTCAACTCTGCACCCTGCCTCGCTGTGTGGTCTGCAGATGTCCCCAGCCTGTGACTAGCTCTGCCCCCAAATCCTGTGAGCTAGTAGGAATCTCCAGCTTGCAGCTTGACCTACAAATTCTGACCACGCCCCCACAATTGTGTGAACCAACCCTTAAGGAAATCAGTCAGTCCCTCTCCCCGTGTGTGTATGCACACGTTGCTTGCATGGGTGTGGAAGTCAAAATGTATTGCTATAAAGAGCATTTTATGAAACAAAAATATCAAAACGTGAAGCAAGTGTATCTAGACACATCCGCCACCTAGGTCTACACACATTTGAAGGTGTTGTTCCCACAGCTCTATCACTTCAACAATGAATTCTGCTCTTTGACTTATACTAGTTTGAACATCTTCAAGGGACTCAAATCATGGTCCTTTAAAATGCTGAGTTTGGGGCAAGATCAGGGCTACATGGTGACTGGAGTAAGGGTTCACAATGAGAGTCTCATAGGACAACCCTTGATACCCTTCAAGAATGAGCAGGTGCCTTATCGTGATGGGAAAAATAAATTCCCTGATTAACTTTCTAGTCTCACCAATGTAGTATTCCATTTTCTTAAAAGATCCTAATATGGCCCCAAGACTGTCCTGTGTCCTTCCAGAAAATCTATCAGGACTATCCCTTTGGAGCCCCCCAAACCGTTCACTGTAACCTTCTGGAAGTCCTGGTGTGGCATGCTAACCCCAAGGTGGGCATACAAACCAAACCCACCAGCTATTCCTTGGAAACCCTATATGGGGTCGACAGCACATAACAACAACATAACCTTCTGAGCTGACCTGCCTTGAATTTAACTAGCCTAGCAGATCCTCTCCAGAAGACCCTGTCTTAATTGAACTTGTTCTTTCAAGGCACCTTAATGAGACCAAGCTAAGCAGACTATTAGAGAACATGTTAGTGGTGGCAGAGACAGGTTTGGTTTGGGATAAGCCTGTGTATGTATGAACTGGAGCCCAATAGCAGTACTTTTTGACTTAACCTTGTGTATACAACACATCCTTACACCTCATGTTTCTCTAGGGAACCCTAAGATACATGCTTCGCTTTCTCATGATAACATTACAACAAAAACTATTCTCTCTCATCAAAGTCCACAGAGAAATGAATCTGAAATAGTGGTTTTCAAAACCTGTGTTTTAGAATTCCAAGGGGATTCTACCTTGGAATCTTCTTCTACCTCAAAGGAAGCAGGCATGAGCTGATCTTGATTTGCACTAACCCCCTGCTGAAGTTACATGAGGCCTGATACCACCGTGTCATTTTCCCATTTACCTATTAGTCACCTCTGTTTATGTTGTTATTAAGTGCCGTTGAGGTGGTTCTGACTCACGGCAACCCTTTATAGGGGGTTTCCAAGGAGCGACTGTGGGGTTGAGCCGCCGACCTTGTGGTTACCAGTCCAGTGTTTACCCTACAGCACCACACCATAACTCTGCTGTCTATAATCAACATAAAATCCTTTGTTCTTTTGTTTGTCTTGTTAACATGTACAAGGATGTTCGCTTTCAGAAATCAAAAGGACACCGAGACCCGCCATGTCTCTATAATATTAACTGTAAATACACTGAGATCTGCTCACACAACAGACACTCAGACAACCCAAAAGCCAAAACTTAAGTCATGAGCTACAGCACCTATTACGTTCTAGTTGTCAAAAGACAAGCTGGCAGGGTTGAACTTATGTGGCCTTCCAGGCACAAATTGTCAAAGGAAAGGAGAGAGCTATAGAAAATACCTATGCTATTTCTTCTGCAAAAAGATCTCCTCCTTATAATTAAAACCTATGACATCAAGCTCACGGTATCCTTTCCAGATTCTCCCTGAGAAAGAGAGAAATTTTAAATGTCTCTCAGTTTCCTCAAATTAAAAAAACAACAACACACAGACACCATTCAAATTTCCCAGTGGACTAAAGAAAAAATTACACAGAGAAAGAGATCCAAGAAGCAAAGACCCAATTTCCATAGGATGCTCTCTTTCTTCAAAATGTTCCTGGAAAAATTCAATCATTTTTCCATTCCATTTTCCCATGAACTTTTTGAAGCTCCCTCGCTCATTCCCACACCCAACCCCCGCTTACTGGAGATGTCTCTCTGGAGGACTCTGACTGAGACACAGGCTCTCTTGTCTAAAATTAAAGACGAGAGCTACTTAGCTCTAACGCCTCTCAGAGCCACACTAACACATAGGAAGGAGGGCTCCCTTCAAGCAAGGAAGGAACCAGTGAATTAAAATCTCCCACACATCCCTAAAGAGGGGCAAAAAGCCACCTTGAACCCAGTCTTACCCCTACTTTCCGCAGCAGGTCTCCCACAATGTTGAGGGCAGATATCCGGGCCGCCGGTGTGAGGGGGGTCCCACCACTGGAGTCATCCAGACCTGGGAAGTACAAGAGGGGATGGGCGCGTGTATACAACTTTAACCTGTAGTAATCGCTGCGTACTAACATCTCAAAATGAGGAATTGTGGGCAGGAAAAGGGGAGCTGACATCTTCCTCATTACCCATTACCTCACTGTGCACATGAGTTTCTCTGATGACCAAGTTTTCAAGTTCTTCCGATGACCAGAGTAAACACTTATTTTTACATGTCATTCTTTTTAAATGCACATGGAAGCAGCAGTCAAGCAATCAAGTGATAGACTACGTTGGGAAAAGACCTCTTGAAAGTCATACAAAAACAAAGACATCACTTTGCAGGCTAAGGTGCACCTGACCCAAATCATGGTATTTCTAATCACCTCATATAAACATGCAAAAGGTGGACATTCAGTAAGATGTCGGAAGGAAGAATTCATGCATTTGAGTTGTGGTGCTGAAGAATACCGGAAGTACCATGGACTGCCAGAAGAACACACAAATCTGTCTTGGAAGAAGAACAGCTAGAATGCTCCTTAGAAGTCAGGATGGACAGACTTCTTCTGATGTACTTTGGACATGTGAGCCGAGGGGACCAGTCCCTGGAGAAGGACATCACATGAGGTAAAATAGGAGTCAGCAAAAAGAGGAAGACCCTCAAGTGAGCTGAACTGACACACTGAGTACAATGGCTCCAACACAGCAGCAATTGTGAGGATGGCTCAGAGCCGGCCACGGTGTGGGTCTGTTTTACAGGGATGAGTGAGAACCAACTCGACGACATCTATTACTTACAACTTGTAAAAATGAAACCAAAACAAATCCTCTTGAAATTCTACAGATTTAAAATAGTTAATTCTGAATTTGGGGCCGGGGAAAGAAATCTGAATGGGTAAGCTCAGGGATTGAGGGTGGAGTACAGTTTCCTAACAGCCTGTTACCTGTGAAGAACAAACAGGTGCACTGCCATGATGGGAAAAGTCCCCAGGACTACTTTCCTGGCCTTTTTCCTCACACATGAGGTTTTCCATTCTCTTAAACTTCTCCATAATAAGCCCATGTGATTATCCTGTGTTCTTTGAGAAAATCTATCAAGGTGACCCCTTTAGAATTCCAAAACAGCCGCTTTAACCTTCTGGGTTTGACCTCTTTGCCTTGAATGTAACTAGCCCAGAAGATCCCCTCAGAAGTCATGGTTGTGACTGGACCTTTCTTTAAAGGCAACCGAATGAGACTAAGGCAAGTAAATTACGGAGAGAACTTATCTGTAGTCATCCACTGACATCTGACAGGCATGCTAAAACGGATTGTGATGGGAATACACCTGTGTTAGGTTTGAGCTGGAACCCTAGTAGCTTTACTTTTGGACTCGTTCTCATATGGACAGATGCGCAGACAACTACAGAGCATGCGTGTTTAGAAGGTTTGTAACTGGACACAGCCTCACTTTCAACTCATGGCCCACAAACCAACAGCATCAGCATCAGCCCTGGGCATCTGTTAGAAACGTAGGTGCTCAGGTCCCTCCCAGACCTATGACATGGAGGTGGATTTCAACAAGCATCATCAAGCCGGTTCTGTCTCAGAGCAACCCTGTATAGGGTTTCTGAGGCTGAACATCTTTGCAGGATGCACAGGGGTAAAACAGCTCTAGGCTGGGATTCTGGAAACTCACCATTTTCTTCATCGCTAGGGAATAAGTTAAAAGGGTCAAACCCATTACCCCATTGCTGTAGGACCCAGGCAAGCTGCCTTGCAGAGCTCCCAAGGCTGTCGTTTTAATGAAACAGACAATCTGGTCTTTTTTCCAGAGTTCCCAATCCAGTATTTAACCTCTGCACTACCAGGGCTCCTCACGGGGTAAGGCAGGGTATGGTATAGAACGCCACACCACGCTGTCTGGCGGGGGAGAACTTACTCTGCCAGTTACCAGCTGTGGAACTCCAGCTAAGTTCCTCGCCCCCACACAGGAGTAACAACAGTCCCTGCATCATGGGGCTGCAGCGAAGATGCAGGAAAGCCAGCCAGACGGAGCATCAGCAAGCGGCCTGCTATGGTTACATGTCGTCCAGTGGCCACATGACACAGCTTGGGTGTGGCCACATGACACAGCTTAGAATCTGGGGGTCCAAAGGTTATAGCCAGTTTCTGCAGATGGTTGTACTGCTGGGCCCACAAAAACTTTTTAAAAATTGTATCCTGTTACTGACATTTTACATTTGGGAGATTTCATATTCAAAAGAGAAGCTCTCTAAACATCTGGTGGAAAATGAAACAATTGGTTAGTACCCACAGCTGCTGAGCTGATTCTGACCAATAGTTAGCCATACTCTCCTCACAGTGCAGAGTGGAGCTGCTCGTAGGGCTCCTGAGACTCAATGTCTATGGGAGCAGACAGCATCATCTTTCTCCCACCAGAGGCTGGTAGGTTTGAATAACTCATCTCATATTTAGCAGCCCAGTGCTTTACCCACTGCACTGCCAGAGCTCCTTCGTCTATTAATTGTGAGTGACTGTCAGTCAGTGCTGGCGTGTCATTTCTGACTCACAGTGACCCTATATACAGGGCTTCTGAGGAGTGGCTAGCAGGTTTGAACCACTGACCTTGTTGTTAGCAACCCAGCACCTATCCTGCAGCCCCAAACCAGGAGTCCTGCTAACACTGGGCCATACTCCTTGTGGTTGAGGAGAGGGGCAGCAGAGACTCCATTGCCCGCTGCTACCTCACACCTGTGACGCATGTCCCTCTCCATTCGGCCCTGTCTGCTCCCCTTCTCTGGATGGCCTGGTCCAAACGCCGTCTCTCACCCAAGTTCTCACCCTGGGGAGCTTCACTCCCTTTGCCCTCACCACGTCTGAAGGTCGCTGGGGTGTTCAAGCTGGAACTGGGTCCTCGATGGGCTGCGGGCGTGGACGGCACGGAGCCAGTGGCCTGCACAGCCGTGTCTGTCTTCTCAGCCTCCAGTGCGCTGGGCATGGGCGTCCGCGGCTTCTCCTGCTTCTGCTGTACCGCCAATTCCTGCCGCAAATCTGAGCAGGAGAGTGGTCAGAAGATCAGACTCTTCTGAGGTTAAGTCCTAGCTTTGAACGGGGGTCGGAGGGATGGGGTTGGGGGATCAACAGGAGACACTGGTGGGAAAAGAGACTCACCAAGGTGGAAAACTCTAGGGGGCATGAAAAGAACCCACGGGCCCTAACAGACTTGTAAAAACAGTAAGACTTTTAAAGGTGAGTCAAAAACTAAGTTTTCAACTCAAACAAACAAAACCCAGCTATGACAATGACAAGCTGATAACTGTACTTCTTTCCCCTCTCTGTTCTCCAGGCATTCCAGCGCCACAGTGTACCCAGAACACGAAGCGAAAATACTGTCACCTCCTCACACTCATTCAACATGACGGCAACTGGGACAGCTTTCCCACCCTTTTTCTCTGCCGTTCCCTATGTGCCATTTGTGGGTATTGCATGTTTACTTGATGTATAAGATGAATAATGGTCACACAGAACACCTACTGTCCAGTCCCCTCCCTAGAGTGGCACGTCATGGCCATCTAAGGTGGCAATCATTGCAGTCACAATGTGACCTTGCACAGAATCAATCGGTGTGGTTTCTTTAACCACTACAGACAGCGGGCATTCTGGAACGGCTCTCTTTTAAATTGACAAGTGCCTTCTTTTTCATCCCCCATCCACCGCTGCAGTCAGTACCTACCTATGCTATAATGAATTGTGATTTTGTAAAACCTCTCCACAGCCCAGCTTGGAGGAGTACCTCCTGTCTCATTACGGTTTCAAAGTTCTCCTGCTCCAGGAAGTGCTAACCTCCAACGAGCAAATACGGATGAGCTTTCAGAGTCCAAGACAGATGCCCGATTGGTCAGCAATTCCACCAACAGAAGGCTTTTCCCACACAACCCTGTGCTCCCACCGAGTGAGAGACCCGAGGAATTGCCCCTGAAGGGAATTCTGCTGCCTGGCAGAACCAACCCATCACATGGGCATCACCTGTGTGCCCCAGAACGGCTTCCATCAACGCCCACCAGGACCCTTATAAGGTTGGGTAACCAGCTGTTCTTAGCTCTAAGTCACACAGACCGAGGGGACAGCACACGTGCCTCCTGACCTCTGGCTTCATCCTTCAGCCGCTGGACAGATTCCAGGAGATTTTCCTTCTCGTCAAGCTCGCTCTCCAGGAAAGCGTTTCGTTCAATGGCTTGATTCAAACGCTGCTCAAAGTCTTCCAGGGACATGATCGTGGCTCTGAGTGGGAGAAAACAAGAGTAGCCCAGGGAGTCATTTGCAGCCTGCAGACCCAGGAGACAAAGAGGCTGAGGGGCTCTAGAGTCAGAAATCCCCACACTGCCACTTCCTAGATGTCACAAGCCCACTGAGCAAGTCACTAAGCATCTCAGGGACTCACACTCTTCACCTGCAGAACAGGAATTGACACCACTACCAGAAATACAGCATGATGATGCACACACGGCACTCCCAATGAGCTTCAAGCCTCCTCAGAACCCCACTGCCTGCTGGACAGTCTCAGAGTAGAGATGCCCTGTGGGTTCCAAGGCAGTCATCTTTAAGGAAGCAGACAGCCACATCTCTCTTGCAGTGGCTGGTGGGTTCCAACAAGCAATGTTTCAACGAGCAGTCAAGTGTTTAACCCACAGCATCAGCATCACCAGGCTCCGCTAGACTTTACTGTTGTTACGTGCTGTTGAGTCATGAGTTCTGACTCACAGAGACCCTGGATAGAGTTTCCAAGAAGTAGATGGTGGATTCGACCTGCCAACCTTGTGGTTAACAGTCCAGTGCTGATCCTATAGCACCACACCATGATGACATGTTCAACAAACTTGTAGAAAAATAGAATAATGGGATTTTCCATAGAACTTTTTGAAGTCCCTCTGTATAGTCCCAAAACACACACACACATATATATTGCTGTATCTTCTCTTGGGAATTCAGGATACCAGCTTGTTTTCAGAATGTCCTAATAAAATGTATATACAACTTAGTAATAAAGTAGCTAATTTAAACCTGGGCTGCAAACTAGTCTATTCTGGTTCAACCCCCTACTGAGAAATTCACTTTTCCCAGTGTAGCACTGTGGGTTAATGTGCTGGACTATAAAGTCAGTTTGAAGCAAAGGTTGGCGGTTCAAGCTCACCAATCACTCCTTGGAAACCCATACAAAATAACTATGGGTTGAAACTGACTCGAAGGCACTCAAAAACAACCTAAATATAAGGAGCCTTGACAGCATAGTGGATTATGAGTTGGGCTACTAACGTCAAGGTCAGCAGTTCAAATCTACCAGCTGTTCCTCTGCAGAAAGATGAGGCTTCCTGCTCCCATTTACAGCCTTGGGAACCCTACACAGGGTCGCTCGGAGTTGGAATCGACTTGAAGGCACACAGCCATCACCACCCCACATATTGACTTGGGTGAACATATCTAGATAAGATTGAGCAGGGGATCTGTAAGAATCACTGGTTAAAACGCAGGTCTTGAAGTCAGTATTTCTGGGATGGAAATGCAAATTCTCAGAAAGGGGTAGAACCAGAACAGACCAATTCGAAGTCCTGATTTAAGCAGGTAGAAGAGGCTGTCTTCAACATCTCCACCCACTGTCCACTGCCACTGCCCTGATGTTCCAACACATAGGGATCTTAAGGGACAGAACTACACCGGGTTCCCCAGGCTGTCATCTTTAGGAAGCAGACTGCCACACGTCTTCCTCCCAGGGAGCTGCTGCTGTGTCTCAACCACTGACCTGTGGTGACTAGCCGAGCCCTTAACCAGTAGGCCACCAGCGTGCTTTTAATCTCTCAGTTGCCTTGAAAAATGCTCTAGCCTCGCTGCCCTGCAACCCACCACCTCGACGCAGCATTCTCTCTGCAAACAGTGTGCAAACACATTCAAGTTCAGGCTGCAGCTAAAGAAAATGAAAACAAGTCCACAAGAGTCAAATATGACATTGAACATACCCCATCTGAATTTAGAGGTCATCTCAAGTACAGATTTGATGCATTAGACACTAATGACTGAAGATCAGAAGAATTGTGGGATGACATCAAGAACATCATATTGGGAGAAAGCAAAAGGTCATTACGAAGACAAGAAAGAAGGAAAAGACCAAAATGGATTTCAGAAGAGATTCTGAAACTTGTTCTCCAGCATAGGCGAATGGAAGAAATGAGGAGGTAAAAGAGCTAAACAGAACATCACAAAGGGCAGCTTAAGAAGACAAAGTCAGATCTTATAATGAAATGTGTACAGACTTGGAGTTAGAAAAACAAAAAGAAGAATACACTCAGCATTTCTCAAGTTAAAATAAGCCTCGACTTATAATTCTGAAGGACTCACTGGTCAAAATACTGAATGATTCAGAAAGAATCAAAAGAAGATAGAAATGGTTGATGCTCAACCGTTTCAAGAGGCAACATATGATCAAGAGCCAAAGGTACTGAAGGAAGATGTCCAACATGCATTGGAGGCATTGGCAAAGAACAAGGCTCCGGGAATTGACAAAAGACAAGCTGAAATCTTTCAACCAATGAATGCAGCACTGGAGGCACTCTCTCATCTATGCCAAGAAATTTGGAAGACAGTTACCTGGCGTACTACTGATGGGAAAAGATTCACATTTGTGCCCATTCCGAAGAGGGGTAACCCAATAGAATGTGGAAATCATAAGACAATACCATTAATATCACAATCAAGTAAAATTTTGCTAAAGGTAATTCAAAAATAGCTGCAGCAACACATTGACACTGAAGTGCCAGAGGTTCAAGATGGCTTCAGACAAGGATGTGGACTGAGGGTTATCACTGCTGACATCAGACAGATCTTGGCTGAAAGCAGAGAATACCAGAAAGACGTAAACTTGTGCTTTATTGACTATGCAAAGGCTTTTTGACTGTGTGGATCATGACAAGCTATGGACAACATCGTGAAGAATGAGTATTCTGGAACAATGGTGTTCATAAGGAACCTGTACATAGATCAAGCAGCTGCTGTTTGAACAGAACAAGGGGACACTGAATAGTTTCAAATCAGGAAAGGTGTGCACTACGGTTGTAGGGTTCTTTCACCATACTTATTCAATCTGTATGCTGAGCAAATAATCCGAGACGGAGGATTTGCAGAAGAATGTGGCATTAGGACTAGAGGAAGGCTCATTAACAACTTGAGATATGCAGATGATACAACCTTGTTTTCTGAAAGTGAAAAATACTTAAAATACTTACTGATGAAGGTCAAAGACCACAACCTTCAATATGGGTTGCACCTCAATGGAAAGAAAATCCTCACCACTGCACCAATAAATCACATCATGATCAATGGAGAAAAGATTGAAGTTGTCAAAGACTTCACTTTGCTTGGATCCACCGTCAACACTCACGGAAACAGCAGTCAGGAAATCAAAGAATTTGCATTAGGCAAATCTGCTGCACAAGATCTCTGAAGTGATCAAGAGCAAAGATGTCGATTTGAGGACTAAGCTGCACCTGACAAAAGCCATGGTACTTTCAATCGCTTCATATCCATGTGTAAGTTAGACAATGAATAAGGAAGACCATAGAAAAACGGATGCATTTGAGTTATGGTGTTGATGAAGAATATTAAAGGTACCATAGACTGCCAGAAGAACAAATAAATCTGTGTTAGAAGTACAACCAGAAGAATGCTCCTTAGAGAAGCCAAGATGGCCAGAGTTTGTCTCAAATACTTCAAACATATTATCAGACGGGACCTAGTCAATCCCTGGAGAAGGACAGCCTGCTTGGTAACATGGAGGGGCAGTGTAAAACCGGGAGATCCTCAATGAGCTCTACTGGCACCGCAGTAGCAACAATGAGCTCAAGCACAGCACATTGTGCGGAGGGCACAGGAGCAGGTGGGGTTTCCTTCTGTTGTGAACAGGGTTGCTGTGGCTCAGAGGTGACTGGCACTTAACAAGAACAATAACAACAGATAGAGACCTTGAGAAAAGGTAAAGATGGAAATAATTTTCAGTAAATATGAATTATTAAGAAGATACTCAATAACCAAAAACATATCCTTTTCTGGCCAATAAATACTTTAAAAATCTATGGGTTACAATACAATGCATGGGAATATAAAATTAAATACAGCCCATCTTAGTCAGTGTAAACATTTTTGGTATTTTAACATTCACACACTGAACAAAAAGTATTCTTGCAGTACTTACAAGCATTAAAAATTCTTTCATGGAATTTCTGCATTACAGAAGTCCACTGACTTTCATTCTATGGTGGCGATTCATTGAGCCTGTACCTCATTTGATCCCAACAATCAGCTCTCCGACATTTGACCAGAATATGAATAAAGGACATCTTTAAAAAGAAAACATTTTTAAAAATGAATGAAGACAGGAGAGGGAAAAGAGGAGGAAAAAAACATAAGCTTTTTTTTTTTTTAACAGAAAGTTCTTCTAATTGAAGCTTTCTAAAACTCGTAACAGAAAACTGAAAATTTGATTACATAAAAAAACATAAAATCTGTTCAATAAAACACAAGCTAACCAAAGCTGGAAGACAAAAGACAAACTGAGAAAATGTTTTTAATTTGTACCACCACTACATAAAGAAACCATAGAACTTAATGAAACAAACTCCTAATAATGCAATTTTCATATATATAAAGATACACAGAGTGATAGAAAAAGGAATAAAACAGATCTTAAATACATCAAGAAACCCAGGGTTCACTCACAGTTCAGAAATGAACCCTCTTCTCACCTATGAGATTGCCACAAACCCCATGTTCTACAGCCATTGTGTTAATGAGGCTACCTGAGACCAGTCACATACACAGCCGGTAGGACTGTAAACTGTACCAACACAGAGCAAGTCAGCATTACCTATCCACATCTCATATTCATGTATCCTTTGACTCAGTCATGTGACTTCCATGAGTTTATTCTAAGATATAGATCTGCCTAGCTTATTCATTAAAGCAAAGCTAACCCCTGCAAAAGAACGGAAACACAGCAGATATCCATCAACCCAACACCAAAATCAAAGCCTTAGCTGTTAAATGCAGAGTAGAAGTGCACCCTAGGGTTTCCAAAGCTGTAGTCTTCACGGGAGCAGACTGGAAAAGAAACTATGATGTAACCATACAATAAAACATGATGCATTGGGGAGGGTAGGGAGGGGTGAACAAAGAATATTTTGTGTCCTAATACAGACAATCTCAAAGATCTATTATGTGAAAAAGCAAGACACAGG